CGGAGCCCTGGGCCCCTTGTCACGGTCCTCGTGGGTTTTGGGGTGTCTGCCCCAGCACACCCTGCTCAGTCCGTGTCGTCCAGGTTCTGTTGCTGTGATGGGATGTACGAAGGGAGACGTCCGTCACTGCTGACCACGTGCAGAGAGGCCTGGACCAGTCGGCCGGGGCTGCCTGGATAGAACTCCGCAGGCTGCGTATTCTGACGTGAGCACAGGCACCCGGAGGTGTTTTCTCCCGGTCGTGGAAGCGGGGCATCTGAGATCGGGGTGTCAGCAGGGCCAGTCTGTCCCGAGGCCTCGCTGCTTGGCTAGCGGACGCCCCTTCTCCCTGGGTCCTCCTCACGGAGCCTCTCCTTGGTGTGGACAAGTCCCGTCCCATCGGGCCGTCCTGCATGGCCTTGAACATCCATAATGTAACCTCCCGAGGCCCAGTCTCCAAACATAGCGACCTTGGGGGTTCGGGCTTCACCCTGTGAATTTGGGGGGCAGTGCTGCTCAGCCTGTGGCAGGTGGTGACAGTGAAGGAATCTGCGCTCTCCTCGCACGTGGGCCCTGAACACCTGCATCCGTCTTGGCGTGCGGCACGGTGTGGCTGAGGATGTTGTAGGCGCCTCATCGGTGTCGGCTGGTGGAGGAAACGTCCGTGTGAGTTCGCCACCCAGTCCTCATCACGAAACCCTAGGGTTCTGGAAAGAGCTGTTTTCAGCTCATTCCCAGGTAGGAAGAAACTCCAGGTGGTCAGGCCCCCTATTTCCCGGACACCCTGATGCTCTGGAACATTGCCGTGCACAGCGGCGTCGTGAAAGGGGGACAGGAACTTTGGAAAACACAGCACACGCTGTGTCGTGGGCGAAGCGCCACGAGTGTCCCGTGAAAGGAAAGAGGCATCTCTTTGATCAGTGCTTTCTCCCTCCTCTGTCGTGGGGGAGGTCCCAGTCCGTCTGCCATCCCGCCGTGGAGGCGGGACACACGGACAGTGTGTCTGCTGCTCTGGGGTGCAGGGTGACGGATGCTGCAGGCAGTGAGGGGCGACCAGGATGGGGGACAAGCTTGAAATCCCGCTGACCCTGCTCCTACATGGACCGTCCCAGCTGAGTCACCGTCGAGGAAGGCGGGAAACCAGACCGGTGCTAAAACTACTGTCTTGGGGGGCACAAGCGACTCTGTTCCAGGGTTTGAAGCACCGCAGGGTGGTCCGGCCTTTTTTTTTTTTTAACATGCTAAAACCGCCGGTTCAGGAAATGCACGTTTTTTCTTGGCGGAGCTAAACTTAAATGCTTTCCGCCCTCTTCACGGGCCGGCTCCGTGGAGAAAGTAATCCAGCACCAAGGGCGTGACCTGGGCACCTCGGGCACCCACAGGGGTGTGGGGCGTGTGCCCTGGCCGGGCCGATGCTGGTGCACCCTCATCCAGTACAGTTTTACGGGGTGATTTCTCTCCTGATGCCTGACAGGGGCCTTAGGCACGGATTCCTTCCCTCCAGGCCCCCCTCGATGACTGGGACCCACAGGGGGGCCTGTCCCTGTCCCTGGGGTGGAAGGGTGGGGGCCCCTCCAGCTGGCCTTTCACCTCTCTAGTCCCCGCTCCCCCTCCCCTCCACCCCTGCAGTTGCCAGCTCGGCTCCTTAGAGCTTCTTCTTTTGTTTTTGTCCTTTCTTTCCTACCAGCTTAGCTGTTTAAAAGTTTGCTGATTTTATCCATGGCAGGTGGGCGTTGTTTTGGTGGGAGTGGGGGTGGGGAGGAGGGTGGGGCTGCCGCACTGTCTGAAATGCACTTCCTTCGTGTGGGGAGAAGTGGGGGAGCCACGGGGGAGCCCGTGCCTTTGCGTCTGCTCCCTGCGTAGCTTCCCAGGGAGACCTGCGGGCAGCCTCTGTGAAATTCCGGGCCTTGGCAGCCCATCGGGCCTGTGGAAGAGTGGGGTCTTTGTTTTGAGGGCCTTTCACAAGGCCATCGTCCTTTTTCTTGGTCGCTGAGGGCGACACACAGGCTGCCGGCCCCTGGCACCCCCACCTCTCAGCCCGCTCGGGACAGCTGGGGGTCCTGTCCAGTCCTCACCCTCGGTCCTGGGTGAGGATGTGCGGTTTGATTTTCCTCCTGAAGACCCCCGACTAAGGCAGCTTGTCTTCTCCGTGAGAGACCCCCTCGCCCAGAGTGAGGCCGGCAGATATCTGGTCGCTGCGGGGTTGGCGGGGGTGGGGGCACCCGCTGTGTTCGCACCCTGTGGTCTCAGCACCCAAACCGCCTGGCTCAGAACAGCGGGAGCTCGCTCTCTGACGGCTCCGGTGGCCGGAGCCGAGATGCCCTTCGCTGGACCGAACATCAGGTGACAGCAGCCTGTGCTGCCTCTGAGGCTCTAGGGGACCTCAGCCCTCGGCCTCTGCCAGCTTCCGGTGGCCGTGGCGTTCCTTGGCTGGGGGCCCGACACCACCCCCTCTGCCCCCTTCCTCTCCCTCTGCCTCTGTTTAATAAGGACCCTGGAGAGGACGTGGAGGGCCCACCTGGCCAGCGCCGGCCACTCTCTCCTCTCAGGTCCCTTCCCTCTTTCCGAAGACGGTCCCATCCACACGCTCCGGGGACGGGGACTTCATGTCTTTGGGTGGCCGTTGCATAACCTGCTACAGGCAACTCGGAGCTGAAGGAGTGGCCCTTGTAACAGCCTGTGTGCACTGTTTTGGAAGGCGGATCCGTTACTGCTGGGCCTCAGACTCGTGTTTCTTCCTCCTTTCTTGCCAAAGGGTGTGATTTTTAAAGCTGCAGCACCGACGAGAGCAAAGGCAGACTGAGTCTGCTGTTCAGCCCCCTCTCCGTCCCCCTGAAAGAGAACGGGTGTGCGAGCGTGCGTGTGAGTGAGTACGTGTGCGTGTGCACGGTCACAAACAAGTACAGTTTTTAGGGCTGGTGGTCCAGTGACTATGGAACTAGTTGGGGCCAAACAGCAGCCAGAGCATCCCTCCCTCCTGCGGGTGGACAGCGGCAGCGTCGGCTGACCGGGGACAGCGCGGCCCCCAGTTTGTCTGGTCCCACCGGCTGGTCATCCCCTCTGCATCCTGTCTTTGGGTTGAGGGCCCGCGAATCCCCATGAAGTGAGTGAAGGTGGCCCAGGCGCCCCCAGTTGGAGGAGGAACGCGTCCCGGGACGTGAGGTGCGTCGCGGTGACTGCGGCTGACGGCACGCGGAGGGTCGTGTGAGGGTCGCCGAGTCCCGAGGTCTCACGGGTTCTCCTCGAACACACCACAAACTCGGCCTGGTGAGGGCTGTTGCCTGGACGCGATAACCCTGCACCTGGTGCGTAAACATGTCACATTGTCAGGTTGTGCGACAGAATCCAGGACGTGTCTCATGCCCTTATATCTCAGTAAAAAAGAGACTTTTTTCCCCAGGGAGACGGCGGACTCTGCGTTTGTAGCCGTTTTTGCTTCCGTAGTAAAAACTCGATTCAGTGCTTTCTCCGTCAGTCGTCTGTTGGTCACTTGCTGCCACACGGGCCGGTGTGTGGTGCAGGGGAGCCGGCCCCTGCGTGAAGGGGGCCAGTGCTTTAAACGGTGCCACAGATGGCGCCCGAGGCAGGGACATGAGGAAGGACAGTTAAGGGGGCCCACTCTTGTGGGGAGGTGGGACTCGAGTTAGTGTCTGAAGGACGGGGGCCTCTGAGTGGGGGTGGGGGCGGCGTGCATGCGGGGAGTGACACTGTGTGTCCTGGGAGCGTGAGAGTGCCCGCCGGAGAGCCAGGGCAGGGCCGACCGTCCCGGGGTGGCTCGGTGAGCGGGGCCTGAGCCGGGCGGAGCAGTGCGCACCCCGGGGACTGGGAGTGAGAAGCCAGAGTTGCGGACGTGGGGTTTCCAGGGCGAGCGTAGAGAGACCACGAGGGGTCAGGGTGAGTGTCAGGGACGGACGAGCGCTGCTGACGTCGTGGTCCCACCTGGTGGCAGCCGGACTTTTATTTTTCTGTCACAAACTGGAGTCAAGAAAACGGCATTTTAGTGTCTTTCTGCAAACGAGTCTGTGTGTATCAACAATTCACTGGTCATTTATCACTGACCTGTGTCGACTTCTGTGTTAACACACTGAGATCATTGCGAAACAGTCACAAGTGCACTTATGCAGCGAGGATGTCAATAGGAACGGGAGGCCGCTGTTCTAACCTGCGCCTGGGGGTGTGGGGGGCTGGGCAGCCATGGACGCACGCCCCTCGGGTTGCAGAGTCTCAGGGCGGGGCGCTGTGTCTGGCCCTGGGAGGCCGGGCCCCAGGTGAGCCAGACCGGAGGCGTCCGGAACAGGGAGGAGGACGGGGGAGGGAGGCCGTTGGCAGACGGGGTCCCCCGGGCGTCAGTGCCTGATGAAGGCCGGAGGGTCCACGCATGGGACACCTGGACTCTGGGGAAGTGACCCAGGAGGAGCTTCCTGTGTGTTGCGGACATGAGGCCTGGGAGCAGCCGCAGGTTGGGGCCTGACCTGGGGCCGAGAGTCACCCTTTGCGGCCATCTCCTGGGGGGACACCTGAGCACTGGAGGCGGGGCAGCCTGGTCCGGGGGCTGGTGCCACTGTGGGGGCTGCCACGCCACCCCCTCACTGAGCCTTGCATCCCGCGTGCCCCACCCACGGCTTCGAACAGCAGATGGGGCGGCGTTGGCTGGTGCAGAAGTGGCGGTGGGGGGACCCCCCCCGGAGGGAGGACGGTGAGGCCTGAGGGGCGGGGAGAGGCCCCTGGCCGGGGAGATCTTGGCGTGGCACCCCTGGGGACCCCAGTTGGACACTGTCCTGCTGCAGAGCCCAGCAGACCACCGTCCAAGTCGCTTCACAGTAAATTTCCCTCCTTCCCTCAATTATTGCGCCTTTTGGTCCTTGCGAGGTCACACCTGGCTTTCTTTCCCTTGCGGTGTCTTGGATCACGCCTGTCTCCGGGTGCGGAGAGTAGCTGTTCTCCTCGGTTCATGTGTGGAGTTGGGGAATGACCTTGGCCCGCAGGGACTGACCACAGCCGTGTTCTCGCGGTCTCCTCAGGTTGCCATCAAAGTCATAGACAAGAAGCGCGCCAGGAAGGACACGTACGTCACCAAAAACCTCCGGCGGGAGGGGCAGATCCAGCAGATGATCCGCCACCCCAATATCACCCAGCTGCTGGACATCCTGGAGACGGAGAACAGCTACTACCTGGTCATGGAGCTGTGCCCCGGCGGCAACCTCATGCACAAGATCTACGAGAAGAAGCGGCTGGACGAGCCCGAGGCCCGCAGATACATCCGGCAGCTGGTCTCCGCGGTGGAGCACCTGCACCGGGCCGGGGTGGTGCACAGGTGAGCGCAGCATGGCGGCCGGGGCGGAGCCGCCGTGGCGGGTTCGCGACTCACCTGCCTGTGTGTCCAGGGAGCTGTTTTGTGAGGCGGGCTGATGCCGCGGTGGGGTTCCAGCAGGGGCGTCTGCAGGCAGAGGGCCTGGGCTTGCATCCGGCCCTGCCCTGCACCTGCTGCGTGACCCTGCGTTAAGTAGCCACTCGGGGCCTCTGTCTCTTCTTCTGTAAAATGGGGCTGATGGTGGTGCCGACCTCGTGGGTGGTGTGAGGAGCGAACGGGGAACGTAACGAGTTGATCTGTGGAGAAAGCTGGGACCGGCGTTTGGTCCAGAGGAAGGGACAGGGAGGTGTCCGTCGCTGTCCTTACTACGTGCAGAGGACGGGGACCAGCCACGTGGGACGGTGGCGGGAGGCTGTCTGCAGCCAGAGCTGGGTGCTGCCGCCCTCCCATCTGCCGTCTTGTGGTGGCCACTCCACAGCTGTCCTTGCAGTTAAAGCGAATCACCGTGGAACCGTCGACTGGCCCTTCCAAGTGACAGGTGTCCCCCAGGAGCCAAACCAGCCTCGCAAATAATTGTGAAAAGTCAAACATTTTTAGAGCAGCGGCCGGCTGCCCTCTGCGCGGAGCCCCACAGAGGGTGGAGCCCTGGCTGGTGTGGCTCAGTGGACTGAGTGCCGGCCTGTGAAGCAAAGGGTCGCCGGTTCAATTCCCAGTCAGGGCACATGCCTGGGTTGCAGGCCAGGTCCCCAGTAGGGGGCGCAGGAGAGGCAACCACACACTGATGTTTCTCTCCCACTCTTTCTCCTTCCCTTCTCTTCTCTCTAAAAATAAATAAAATATTTTTAAAAAAGAAAGAGGGTGGAAGCCGCATAGGGGGACATGTTGGTGGCGGTACCTGCTCTCAGCGCTGCGCCACCATTTGATGAGAAATGAAAGCACCCCCTTTTCCTCCCCAGGGGGTGCTCACCTCTCCAAGACGGCAGAGTCCTGTCTCCTCGGAGTTGCCACCGTGAAAACTCTGGGCTGTGGAGGGAGCGTAAGGAGCGCTCACGTTCAGTGGGTCCTTATCTCCTTCCCTCCCTCCCTCCCTCCTTCCTTCCTTCCTTCCTTCCTTCCTTCCTCCCTCCCTCCCTCCCTCCCTCCCTCCCTCCCTCCCTCCCTTCCTTCCCTCCTTTCTCCCTTCCCCTTACCCAAGGACATACTTGGAGGGGAAGGGAGGGGGAGAGAGAGGGAGAGAAACATCAGTGTGAGGGAGAAAAGTGGGTCGGTTGCCTCCTGCACTGCGCACCAGCCGAGGGCTGAACCTGCAAGTGCCCTCACTGGGAATTGAACCCGCGACCTTTCGGTTACGGGCCGCTGTTCCAACCAGCTGAGCCGCACCAGCCAGAGCTGGTGGATTCTCGTTTTAAAAAGGAAGATCGAAGCTTTGCGCAGTGGCAGTATTGTAGCCAATGAGGTTTATCCGAGGCGCGATTATTGCTAATTGAAAAAGGAAGATCGAAGCATCAGACAGGTTGGGTGTGTGTCTGCACACGTGTAACATTTTTTATTGAGACGATTCACATACCACAAAACTCAGCATTTTAAAGGACGCAGTGGAGTGGATTTTTAATGTGTTCACAGAGTTGTGTAACTTTCATGACTAACCTAGTTTTAGAGAATTTTCATCCCCCTAAGAAGAAACCCATTCACGCTCCCCCCCCCCCCGTCCCAACCCCCACAAGTCCCAGGCAGCCGGGCCCCTCCCGTCTGTCGCTGTGGATTCCAGTGTTTGGGACGTTTCCTCCGAGTGGGAAGGAACAGCCTGTGGCCTTTTGCGACCAGCTGCCTTGCCCCAGGGCCGTGCCTGCTGGATCCGGCTTCGGCGGGGCAGGTGTCCTCGAGTCCCTCCTCTTTACGGCTCAGGGACCTCTCGCCACAGCCGGTCTGTCCGCCCTCAGCGGCGGCCGGGCAGCTGTCCGGCCTGCGGCGGTCCTGAGTCAGCCGCCGCCACGCTCGCATGGGTGTTGCGCTGTGAACGTGTGCTCCCCTGCTCTAGGGAACTGCGGGGTCACCCGGCAACCCTGCGTTTGACCTTTTTCAGAAACACATGGTTTTAAAAAATGCAGCTTCTGAGGGTGCTTTTGCCCGTTGGCAGCCGTCCACACACAGTCTGCTTGGTGGGTAGAGTGGCTGCGGCTGTGTAAGTAGCTGCACTGTCCGGCTTTCCAGGGGGAGACAGACATTCCTGAGGGGGGGACGCGGTGGGGCAGCCCCCCCACCTCCGGAGCCAGCCTGGGCCCCGAGGTGCCCTTCACGCAGGTCATTTCCTCCCGGAGTGAGAGAACCTCTCCAGGTCCCTATTTTTAGTCCTGCGCATTGTCACGAAATCACGCGTCGTTAGGACTCTTTGAGTTTAGATCAGCGGGGAAGGGAACATTGAGAAATTTTGAGTGAACAATGCTATTTTTGGCTCTTTCCGACAATCCCCTGCATTGCCCGTCATGTCCTTAGCTCTGCCGCTGTTAGGGAAGGGACGGTCGCCAGAGAGCTGGGCGCTGGATCTGTGGGTGAGAGTGACGCCCACAGACACCATCTGCGTGCATCGGCGTGGGTCACCAGCTCCCCTGGCCGAGGCGGAGGGCAGAGCCTCAGCGCGGTCCTCGGGACTCGGGGCATCCGGACGGGGGATCGTGTGCGGGCTTCAGGGATTTTGAGGACAAGGAAGGAGAAGACGGTAGCAGCTGTGTCGTGGTCTCTCTGGAAGGAAGTTCTCCACAGCCCTTGGAAGGAATCTTCGTGAAATCCGGCCCCCGTCCCTGCCCTCCCTGTCTCAGTGGGAGAGGCAGGAGTTGAGTAATGTTTTGACAGCGAAGATGGGGCACCTCCTCCTGCTCTGACCTCCTGCACACTGCCGCTCGCCGCGCCTCGGAAATGCACCCGTGAGCCAAGGCGCCGAGGTTGGAAGGTTGGGGAGGGCGGGAAGCAGGGGGCTGGTGGGGGAGGCGCCGTGTCGTCTCTGTCTGTGGAAATCGTGGGCGTCGGCCACTCCGATGCAGGTGGCCCGTCCCGTGGCCGGGACAGCGTGGGCAGACGTTCGTTTGGAGTGCGCGCGGGCGGCGTTCACTGAAGCCCTGAGTCCGACTCAGCTCGGCTCCTGTCGGCCCCCAGGACCCGCTGGCCCCTGGTGGGACCTTCAGTGCGGCCCCTTTCCACGGTGCGGAACTTCCGCCTCGGTGCCGCTCAGACAGAATGTGTAAATTATTATTTACACATACATTATTCGGAGGCTGAGACTTTTCGGGGGAAGCAGAGGTGCCCTGGGGGCCGGCCCTCCTGGGAAGAGCTCCGAGCACACAGATTGGACAGCACCAGAGTGTGGGCCGCCTTCCCTGGCGTGAAGGGCCCTGTGTCCGTGGGGCGGAGGCCACTGCTGCGCTGGCTGTCGTCACCAACACATCTGGGGAGCCGTCTTTCCTGGGACGTTAAGTCTGTGTACCCAATTATCCACCAGAACTAGCAGCGTCATTCGAAGGTCAGCCTTCAACAGTCGAGTAAACATTACATTAAAAAAGAGGAAACTACCCTCGCGTTGAGCAGATTTCCCTCAGTGGCAGGGAGAACTGCCCCTCCCACCGGACCGGCCCTAAGATGTGTGTCTTTGGCTGCAACCGGCTGTTGGTGACTCTGGCAGCGGCACGGTGTGGTCTTCGCAGCCTGATCCCAGCATCGCCCGAGACACTCCCCAAGTTTCCACTCTAACGAGTGTTTTTCTCAGACGTGCTCAGCCAGCAGGACACCGACATCTGAGGATTCGCGTGTTGCACACCGAGCTCGAGCCCTGCGTCCATCCATAATCCCCGACAGCGCCGGCTCTGCTCTTGCTGCTGATCTGAGGGTCACCTGCGCCTTCAAACTGACAAGGTCCAATCACACCGGACAAGTGGACCTCATGGGGCAGCACTGTGCCGCCAGCTGCCGGGCGGAGGCACGTGACCCTCAGGGTGGGGCTGGGCCCGCACCGGGCATGACCCTGTTCATCCCCTGACTCGGCACGGCCTGTGTGCGCTGTGGAGGTTATGCTGGGAAGAGGGGGGCCCTGCTTTGTTCTGTGGGCCTGACGAGAAGCAGGCATCACCCGGACCCGTCTGGAATGAAGCAGTCCTTTCAGTGATCTGCTTTTCTCGGAGAGGGGAAGGCGGGGCGGGCAGATGGGAGGGGAGTTTGGGGACAGGACCTGCTGCTGGGAGCGTGTACCTCTCTGCAGGTGCTGTTGCTAGAGATTGAGGTTTTTGTGTGCGGCTGGGTTTTGAAAAGGGAGAGAGACGTGAGGTTTTCCCACGTTCTGGCCTGCCGCCTGGCAGGTTGGGGGGTGCCACGGCCAGCACTGTTGATTCTGAAGCCAGACCACCTGCGTCCCCACGGCAGCTCGGGCCGCACACTGCTCAGGACTGTGCGCCTCCGCTTCCAAGTGCGCAGGAGAGAGAAGGGGTGGGCCGCGTCGTGGGCTGGGCCAACACTGGGAGTACAGACAGTCCTCGCTTACGCAGTTGGTTGGTTGGTTCCCCGACTTCAAGCGGAATGATGCGGAACCAAACCCGCCTGGCCGAGGGCTGACTGGTACAGACCAGAGTTACATGGCTTGTTGGTGTGGTGCTGATACCGCGTTGAGCCCAAGGATGTTGTTTGGGGACCTGCTATGCTGAGGACGTGTTCCCTGTGACTGTCACACATGTGAGTCATTCATGTCACTCTCGGGAAGCAGAGTTCTGTGGGCTCAAGGCCCCACCGCTCACTGGTCTCTGCTTCTGTGGCTCTGGCCATCTTCGGCCGAATCCTGCTCACCCTTCAGGTCCCAGCTCCAAGCTCACCTCCTCCAGGAGGCCCTCCAGGCTAGGCGCCCTGGTCATAAACTTCCACAGCACCTTCTGCTTTGCTTTCTAAACACTTTTCACGTGACAACTCCCTTGTCTGACATCTGTCCTCTGTGCAGTTCCCCCCACCCTCGCTCCGCTGGCTCAGCGCCAGCCCAGGGGGCACACAATGGGATGGACGTGTCTCATGAAGGAAGGGAAAGGATCGAATACAGCCACTGTCGGAGCCAGCGCGGGGGTAGCAGCTTTCTGGTGGCCGGTCCCACATACTTTCTGGAATGTTCCATATGTTCCCCGGAATTTGAGGGAGTTTCTTCTTTGATTTGGTACCGATTTGTTTAATTTTTTGGGCCGCAGTGTCGAGAGTGGCCTCTTTTCAAGTGATGAATAGCTCCTTCGTTTTAACACTGTAGGAACTCAATTAGGCTTTCATTTTGAATACATAAAATCAGTATACGCGTAACTTTTTTTTGTTTTACCAAGTTGCCCATCTTATAAATCAATGGAAGATTAAAAAGCATTTGGTTTCGATACAGAGCTTTTGACGATAAAACCGAACCCACAAAACCCTTGTTCAGGGGAAATGCTTGCTACCTGGGGTTGCCGTGCTGGCCGTGGGCGCTTTGTTCTTGGTTTGTCACTGAAACCGTCCTGCGGCCACGTCCGTGGGCAAAACGTCCTCCTGCAGACTGGAGCCCGTGCGTGTCCGGTCCGGCCCCCCTTCCTTGGACCTCTCGCTTGAGAGCTGAAGCCCCCAGTGTGGTTCCTCATCACCAGACTCATCCCCCAGTTGAGTCTTTCTGGACCCTCCCCCAGGACGTGGGTGAGAACCTGCCACTTGAACGTCCTCACCTCTTACCTGTCGGTGCCCGTTCAGCCCGGCGTGCCCCCGAACGCGGGGGCCCACGCGTTCTCATTGCCTGCGGCGAGCTGCCCTGCCGGACAAACCCTCTTTTGAGGCCCTTTGTCCAGAAGAGTCCGAAGCGCCGAGCCTTACGTGACTAGGGCAGGGCGGTCGGCGGCCGGTCGGTGGGAGAGAACCCGCCGCAGGGCTGTCTTCCGTCCGTCCGTCTGTCCATCCCTGGGCGGCGTGGGTTCCACTGGCTCCCCCCCGCCAGGCTCCCTCCGGCCTTCTGGCCCCTCCGAACCCCGCGGCCCCTGCTGGTCTGTGTTGTGTCACTCAGTTCCCCCCTTGCATGTCGGGGAGGCCCTGCGGGGCTCCCCAGGCTCCCTCTTGAGTTGCTGCCCCTCGGCCTGGGCCTCGGGTGTGTTGGAGCCCGACCTTCGACCTCTGCTGGCCTTGGCCCGGCCTGGGAGAAACTCGGTCATCCCCTCCCAGTGCTCTGGCCAAGTGCGAGCACCCTCGCACGCCTGCGTGTGTGCACACCACACACATCCACACATGCCCGCTCACAGACCTGTACTCACACCTGTGCACACGCACACTCATGCCTTCCCCAGACGCACGTGTGCCCCCCACACGAACATGTTCACACGTGCAGTGTGCACCCACAGACACGTGCCCAGGAGCACATGTGTGCATGTACACATGTGTACCTGTGTACTCACCTGTATGCACGTACCTTCCCCGGATGCACGCACAGACCCAGGTGTGCTCACACTCATTGCACCCGTGCACAGGCACACACGCACACACGCCCCTCTGCTCTGCAGGGCCCCCACCGGGACCGCTGTGCTTGCTTTGGCCGCAGGGCCCTCCTTTCCCGGTGGGGTTCGCTGTGGTCAGCCTCCCGCCCTCGGTGACTGATCGCCGTCCTTGCAGACACACCTGGAGAGCCTGGGTGGGTGGAGGGAGGGCGGGCGCTTGGTAGCTTGTGGGTGAGCTCGTACTGGTGAGTCTGTCCTGCTGGGGCTTGTTCTTTTGAAAGAACCCAGAACGAGGGGCTGGTGAGTCGGGCTGTCCCCTCAGGCTCGCCCCCCACCTCTGACACCTACCCCCCCAGCACAGGTGAGAACTGACCCTCTGCCCAGCTGGCTGAGGGCCTTGGGGGGCCCCGAGGGGCAGTTCCCTCTCCAGAGGGCGGGCGGCACCTGTGCTCCGGGGCTCCCTCCTCACAGCAGTTCCCTTGACTGCTGCCTCCCCCACGCCCACCATGAACCGGACCCATTGCCCCTTATCACAGGGGGTGCTCGGTCCCTTCCTCCCGCGTCCTGACTCCTCTTACAAGCCCCTTCGACCAAGAAAAACCTGTTTCTCTTCGTCCAGGGCCCTTTCCTCCACTTCCTTCTGTTCACGGCTTACCAGTTCACCCTGAACTTCTGGTCCGCCTGCCACAGGGAGGAACGGCCCCTTCCTCTCTCCCCCCGAAACCTAGTGACAGATCGGATTGAGGCATTGATGCGAAATGAGCGTCACCTCCATCACCCTTCCTGCCCAGCGGGAAGTGGGACACTGCCCAGAGCCGGCGTTTTGTTCTCAGGGACGGAGCTCACTCCCCCCACCCCCAGGCCCACGGTGGTGAGAGGCCTGCTGGTGGTTTTGAAAAGGTGAATTAAAATATTCTCACGCTGAGACCTTCCAAATAAATTCGTCTTCCTCATTATCCCAGGAGGTGCCTCCATTTGGTGGCCTCTGGGGTCAGCCTGGCCTCTGTGGTCACTGCCTCGTGGTGGGGCCGCGGGGCTGGGGGGGGCCTGCTGTGCTGAGGGGCTGGCGGTGAACTTCAGGTGGGTGAGGAGGCTCCACAGTAAACGTCCGGCACGAGCCACGTGGCTGTGGCCATGCCGGTCCTGGTGGACAGCTTGTAGGAGAGGGCCCGATACTCAGCCTCTTTTTAAAAAACTAACAGGCTGTGTTTTCCCAATGGTTTTAGGTTTGGTGCGGAAACAAGAGCCCCCCGTCCTGCCCCCCCCCCACGTCCATTCGCCTATTTCTAATATCTGGGAGAGTATCGGACATTCTGGACAGGCGATGAGCCAGCCCTTGTCACGAACGAGGGTCCCTGCGTTGTGCTGGGCTCGCCGGGGTCGGGGCGCATCGGGGCTGTGCATTCCGTACATTCTGACACATCGCGATGTCCTGTAGCTGCCACCACAGCCTCACGAGGATGAGTCTCACCAGCCTGAGGAAAATGAGCCCCGCCCCCTCCCCCTCCCTCCTCCCAAAACCTCCGGCAGCCACTGACCTTTTTCACTATCTCCCTAGTTCTGCCTTTTCCAGAAGGGCACATACTTGCAATCCAGCCACCCATCTTTCAGACCGCCTTTTTCACTTAGAAACTCTTGTGGAAGGTCCCTCCCTGTCTTTTTACGACTTGAGAGCACATTTCTTCTGCTCTCTGAGCAGTCACCCTCCACGGTCCAGTGCACCACAGTCCACTCGTCCCTCACCCACTGGCCACACCCCGGTGCCTCCCAGTTTCGGGGACTGTGCGCATGGCTGCCATGAACATCGGCGTCCCTGCCTTGTCAACACACTGGGGTGAAGCCCCACATGAAAGCTACTTTTAAAAACAGGCCTTTAGCGTCTGTTTTCCTAGAGTCGGAAAGTTGGTGCCCTCTTCCTTCCTTCCGGCTGCCTTTCAGCAGACAGGCGGGAGGCAGAAAGGGGCAGAGCCGGCCAGGGAGGGCGTTCCTGTCTCAGGCAGTCGGTGCCCCGGTCTGGACAGGAACCCAGGTGGCTGCCCCTGCCCGTAACCGGCAGTGAACCGGGTGACCTGGTTCCTTGGAGAAACCTCCACAGAAAGGTGACAGGAGGGCCCAGAGCCGGGTTCGCCTGGGGCTGGGGCGGGTCCCCGTGGGAGGCAGTGTGTGGGAAGAGAGCCGCTTCAAAGGATTTCAGTTTTCTGGTTTTGCCTAATAATTACGTTTGCGCCTCCTCCCGTTCCCCGGTTTGTTCCCTTTGGCCTTTTTTCTCCTTTTTACTCGTGGTTCCCCAGGCTCGTGCGGCCCGGCAGCCCCAGCTGGTTTCATTCTTCCTGGCGGTTGATTTTTCTGACCTCATTCTGTAAAGCTGTTGTTCTCCACCGTGTTTGTTCCAAACTTAATTTCGCCTTTGATGTCTTAGTGTGGTTTCCATTCTCACTGGAGAAAGAGGTTCAATTTGCCGGGAACAAGCCGCCGCCTTCCTTTGGATTTGAACAGCGCCGTGGCTTTATGATCGGCTTTCAGGGACCGCGGTCGGCGAGTGCGTGCGTTTCTGGGACGCCGCACGGGCGTGAAGAGGAGCCCAGGGCGGCCGTTTGTCCTGAGTATCTTCAGAAAGGAGGAAGCGCCTTGCCGAGTCCTTGCAAAGTGTCTCCTTGGATGGGGCGCAGTCTCGGGGACTTCATTCCAGCAACACAAATACTAGTCGGGGAAGACGTATCAGGCTCTGATACATATCAACTCGCTGATGACTTTGGGTGCTTCTGGGCGCCCCCCCCAGGAGACCAGCAGAAAGGGAGGGAGGCCTCTCACTGCAGTTTTGTCGTAGCTCCGAGTCCCCCCACGGCAAGGGTTTGTGGGACCACCTGAAACCATCCCGAGTGGCTCACTTGTAAAGATTTTGAGTGGGTACTTGGGTTAAGATTTCCAGCAATTGTGTCCTGCAGAGATCCACAGAGCGCTCTACGGCCTGCACCCCGCACGTCAACTTAAAGGTCACGTCACGTGTCTCCGCTGTCCTAGTGCTGCTGGGGACAGATGTCGGTGACTTCTCTCATAAGAGATGGGGATGTGGGGATAATGTTTCTAGAACTACTGACATCGATGTCATCACGTATGCTCTTACACAGGATGGTACAGCTCTGTGGTCAATAGCATACATAGTCATTCGATAATTTCATTGCATTAAAAAAATTATATATTTGTGTTTTCCAAGTACCTTTGTCTTTCCCTTTGGAAAAATGGGGAGGACCCCCTTACCTCTGGGGTCGCCCGCGTGGGGACACAGGCAGTGCCCTCAGAGGGCCGTGGCGGCTCTGACGGCCTCTGTGTGCTGTTTCGTCGGGGTTGGCGTGAGGACACTCCGCTCCTCTCCTTGCTCGAGTGTGCACCGGGGGTGAGGAGGATCCACCTCCGTGCCCTGGCTGTGTGTTCTACTGTCCTTCTCGTCCCCGTGTCCTCCCCCACGTCTACAGCCACCGTCCAGCTTTGAAGTCCGTCGGGCGCTTTTGAGAGCTCGCCTTTTTCCTGTGCTTGACTCCTTGTCCCCTCTCCCATCTCATCCCGCTGCCCTCGTGGTTCCTGGGCGAACAGACTCCCCACGGGCTCCTTCCGGGGCGGCTCCGCGTGGCCGTCTCTCCTCCTCGTGGTCTGCTGTCTCCCCGGCAGTGAGAAAGTGGGAGCTGGATCAGGGACGCTGTGTCTGGAAACTCTGGTGGAGAGCGTCCTGAGTGTGTGGGGAAGGGAGGGACGCTCCTCCATCTGCGACAGTCGTGGGCGTCCCAGTCGGCAGGCTACCACCTAAGATGTTGGGAATCCTGGACCTGGATGGTTCTGAGGACCAAGTACCTGCTTTTGCCCTCAGTTCTCTCACTCCGGAAACGCCAGACAGTTGTCTGTTTGCCAGCCTAGGTTCCCTGGGATTTAGCGAGCAGCTGGCTGTGCCGAGGTGAGCGGGGCGGGCCTGCTCCTGCCCCCCCGGAGCCCCGGTGCTCGGCACAGACTCCACGGGCCCTTCCCACTCAGCGGGACCCTGAGCCCTTCCTTTTTCCCGCGGGCCCTGTCACCTCTGTGCCTGTTAATCAGGGACACCGGCCCTCCGAGGACAGGTCATCCCGTGTGCACCCTGCGGTCCTGTGAGCTGACCACATGCTCCCCTGTAACGCCTAGGATTCGGGCCCTGGTGTCTCTGGGCCCCGTTTTTCTGCCCAACACAGCACCTGCTTGGTGAGAAGATGAACTTGCCAGCAGCCGCCAGTTTGGCCTCCCCGCAGGGAGGCTGTAGGCCTGACCGGTTTTATCTGCGTCCGGTTCTGTTCAAGCTGCTTCCCGAGTCTGCCGCCGACCCCTGTGGCAGGGAGTGCCTGCCGCCTCCCCATTGCGTGGCCGCGCTTTTGCCCCGACAGTTCTAGTTCACCCCTGGGTTTCAGCGTCTGTCCCGCTTCTTCCAGAAACTTCTGTGTTCAGTGTGCCTTGTCCTCTCTGAAATCCGCTAGCTGTTTCAGTCTGCAGCACCGACCTCTGTCACGTCCTGCAAATATTTACTTCGTCCTTATAAATATTTACTTTCCGATTGTGGCGTTTTGGCAGAAAGCCTTGTGGGCGGCGCCAAAGGGGCCCTCAAACCGTTTGTTTCTCCTCAGAAGTGAAATATCATTTTGCGAGTTCACATGCCCCACCTGACGCTTTGTGTGGTTTTGTTTCTTCCAGGGACTTGAAGATAGAAAATCTGCTGCTGGATGAAGACAACAACATCAAGCTGATTGGTAGGACTTGCTTTTTCTTCTCCCAGGAGACTAGCCGCCGAGGCTGTGCTGCTCATGGCCTCCCCTCTGCTCCTGCAGAACCGACGTAGGAAAGGGTGCCCGGCCCATTGTCGGCCCCCGGACGGCACTTCCAGATCACGTCCTGTACCGCCAATATTTAGTAGTGGTTCTGAAAATGAAATTTAACTTGAAAAATAATTTAAACCTAAGTAGGAAGGTGAGGTGCTATGAAGTGACCATGAAATGGGCTTCACAGCCCGAAGTGAGCTTTCGGGTTGTCCGGTCTTCAGCTTCTCCCTAATCTCAATGGATCTGAGCTTTTATATGTTTTTTTTTAATTTGGATTAACTGTAAACCTTTTTAAAAATGGTGGCTGGCGTTTGGTTCGGAAGTGCGGCCCGTAGCTTAGCCCTATCTCACTTCTCAGTCCGCACAGGGGATGGAATCTAAGGCACGCAGTGTCCTCGTCTGCTTGTCCCCGGGTCCCCAGCCCCAAGGCGCAGGGCGGCTCTTCAGGGAGACACTGCCTAGGGCCCCAGCGAGGTCTGTACCGATCAGAAGGCAGTTCCGGGAAAGAGCTTGTAGGACCCGGGGCACGGCTCAGGGTCCCTGAGCGGATGGACGCACTCCGAGATCCTTCTCTAGAAGATTCCGTCGCTGTTTGCCTGTGTGGCGGCTCTTGGCCAAGGCTCGGGCGCCCCTTCCACTCTCAGCTACTAGACGGTGCCAGCATTTACTCTGTTCTTTTCTTTCTTTCTTTCCCCACCTCAAGGGCAGGGAGTTTCTCCCCAGCCAATGGCTCGAGAAAGGCTTTAGGGGGAAAGAGACGGACCAGTGACAGGCGGTACTGGACATACCCGTAGTTAGAAGATTAGTAATTCAGAGGAAGCCAGCTTCCCCCGAGAGATTTTATTTTATTTTTAAAGACTTCATTTGAGGGAGGGGAAGGGAAGGAGAAAGAGAGGGAGAGAAACATCAGTGTGTGGTTGCCTCTCCTGCGCCCCCTACTGGGGACCTAGCCTGCAACCCAGGTATATGCCCTGACTAGGAATTGAACTGATGACCCTTTGGTTCACAGCCTACACTCAGTGCACAGAGCCACACCAGCCAGGGCTCCCCCAAAGATTTTAAAGAATGTATCCTTAGAAGACGCTTGAACAATTCAGAGAATTTTCTTCGTATCAGATTGACCCTTGACTTTGTCTCGAGGGCTGAGTCCAGCTGCTGTAAACCAGGCTGATGACCCGACGCCTGCAGGTTGTTGGTCTTGGTTCTGGGTCTGCGGCAGCAGGACACTGAGGCTGGGCCTGGTGGGCTGAGAGTTGGAGATGGGGGGTGGTTTGGGGGCCCTAGCCGTCTGACCTGACGGGTGACCTGCCTTCAGAAAACGTGGAGGTGACAGGGACCGCGGTCCCCTCCGGCAGCCGAGATCGTGGATGAACAGGCTGCGTGCAGGCTGGGTGTGCGTTCCCGTCCAGTCGGGCCCCAGGCTGGTGATGGGCCGAGTGTGGTCCCCGGGTGGTCCCCCACCTAGTGCCTCTGAGCGGAAACGGTTTTCTTTGCTCACCTCTGCCTGCCTTCCTGCTCCCGCGCCGGCTCCATCTTCACCCCCCACCCCCACCCCCTGCGAGAGCCCTGGACGAACATCTGGAAAGCAGGGCAGGTAGGTGCTGCAGGGTGAACGGGGTGAGCAGCGCTGCTCGGAAGGTTCTGGAGGAACTGGTGGCTGTAAACGTGGGCGCCTCTCTCAGGTGCTCACAGACGGACCCCTGAAAAACCTGCGGCAGAAGACCACGGAACGAGGGACCTGGGCCGGAGCCCGCTGGCTGCCTGCGGTGTGCTCGGGGTGGCCCCTTGGAGACCAGGAACCAGGCGTTCACCTTTTATGGATCGTGCTTTCGATTTCTTTCTTTTTCGAATATTTTTTCAGGTGCAGTTTCGTCACTAGCACCCCGTGTCAGTGGCAGGTGTGGTTAGACTGTCACAGACTGGGAACCTCGCTGCTCAGACACTGTCACCCCTCAGCCAGGCGGCGCAGCCTTGGGCCCCTGGGGCACCGCTGGAAATAGGGTGTTGAGAGCCAGGAGTCCCAACACTGCTGGTCCCCAGGCTCCGAGCACTGGCCCCGCCTCTGACATCACCCAGGAGCCGGGGACCCTGAGGAGCCCAGCTCCTTGTAGCCGAGGGAGCCGCCCCAGACGGCACCTGGCTCATTCAGCAGAGTCTGGGTTTCCTCGTTTTGTTTTTTTTTCCCACACGGTGGGGCCAGGAAGGGAAGTGCAGGAGGGAAGCCGTGCCCGGGTCCTGGGTGTTTCTGCCCCTAGTGGGGCAGTCGGACCAAGTGTCACTACAGCCGCCTTTTTGCAGCTGGAAAGCCCTTTGAACGTTTTCTTCAAAGGAACTTTACCTGGTTTTTCAGAAGTCGATTGTGACTACTACCACTTCTTCATAGTTTCTCTTTCTTTGAAATATTTTGATTTAAATGGATTGACCAAAGGCGTGTTCCAAATAAACGAGAGTTAACCGGGAGTGAGATTTGATTTCATCAGGACATTTCCCTCCTATAACAAAGCCGTCTGACCCCCGACCGTTGATGTGACCTCAGCGTGTGACTGGGGGGGGAGTGCCGCACCTCCGGTTTCCACGGCAGCCCTCACCGGGAGCTCTTCAAGATCCCCGGGACAGCTGACTCCGGTGTCACCAGCTCCGACAGTCGCCCACCTGGGGACCCTGCTGGGAGCTTGTGTCCTCATTACAGGCACCTCCCTAAAATGCTACTAATTACAGTGACGCACGGAGAACAAACTGCTTATTTCTCTACAAGCTACTTTAAACGAAACCCTTTCCACTGGACCAGCATAAGCCACTTAAACTGCAGATTTTGTCTCCTCCACACGCTCCTCCCGCTAATTTATCTTCCTGAAACTATGCCGAAGATAAGGCAAGGCTGTGTTCCCACACTTGCCTGGGAACCGCAGCCGCCCCTTACCTCGCTCGCGGCCCTGTCTGCAGTCAAGCAGGTCTTGGCAGACCCGGGCAGGGGAAGTGCACCGAGTGGCGGGGGTCTGTGACCCCCCGGGGAGGTGAGCGACAGAGTCTGGACTCCCGTTTTAATTTCAGAAACCGAGAGCTGGGTTTTCTGGGACCCCAGGAGAAGGACGGCCCAGGAAACGCCCCTCGGAATGCTGCCCAGGCCGTACGTGGGCCTTATTCCCTGGGCTGCCCTTCCCTAGAGTGGGCGCCCTCGGGCCTTCGTCGTTCAAGTTCCTTTAGGCTGATTTTCAAACTGAAAGCATTTCAACGGCCATCCGGTGCAAAGCTCAGCATGAGCTTCCTTCTTGTAAAAGTAGTCATACCCCCGCCTTGCCTTTGCCTCCAGGACCCAGGCCCTGAGAGCCCGTTGAACAGGGATCCCACCCAGCTGGGGTGTGAGACCCCCTCCCCAGGGCCTCCTGGGGAAAGGCGATGGGGCCAGGGCGGGGCTGGGGCAGTGGGGAGCCGAGGACGAGAGGAGGAGAGAGGCTATGAGAATCAAAAGGGAGCCATGAAGAAATAAAAGTCTAGTTTGGCATGGGGACGTCGTACACGTGGCTCGGCGGTCGGTTGGCCAGTCCCGTTGTAGGAGCTGAGACTCCATCTCCAGCCCTGAGGCTTTGAGAGCCCAGAGGAGTTTTCAGAGCTCTGCCCAGATGGGGTTTGGAAAGCCGCCTGGGCTGTGCGTCTCACCTCACTGAGCACTGGGGGCGGCACTGAAGCGTCTTGACCCACAGCGTGTGACAGCTTCACGGACTCACCCGCATGTCTTCTTTCCGGAGCGTGCCCGGTGGTCATGTTCTTGGCGGGTGGAGACATGTTAAAGGCCAGGAGAAAACACGGTAGCAAAGTTAGACGTACATCCCGCCAGGTGGGAAGGTGCGAGGGTTTTGTTCAAGATGCAGAGCTGGTCGGTGAGTCCCTGCCAGCAGCCCCTTCCTGACTGAGCCCTGTGGGCGGACAGTCCTGCGTTTGGGGACGAGAACCGCCGTGTTTATATCGAAGTTGGAGGAGGAACTGTGCGTGATCTGGGTTCTGAGCTCAGCAAAGACTGAGGACAGCTGTCAGGTGAGGGCAGGACACTAGGAGCTGTCCAGTCACCTGTCTTTATGATCAGAGGCAAACTCGGCTGCAAAGGCAGAAGGGCCAGGGGAGGGCGCTTTGGATGCGGTCCTCTTCCTGCCTCCTCCCAGGTGCCCTACTCCTCGTCCGGGAACAAAGTGGTGCCGTGGGTGCCTTCGCCTGGTGCTCGCCGCTCTCTCCCTGGCGTTATTTTGGCCGCCAGCACCAGTGCCGTCTGCGTCACTGGGTGTGTGGCACTCGCTGTGCGGAGCACCATCTGTGGCCGCCTGCATCAGGAGCACTGTCGGAAGATTTGTATGAAACGAAAGCACTCAGTTGCAAGAGTCATCTCTACATGGGGGGTCGCCTGTCACACGGGGGGACGCTGACACCAGCCCGAGAAACTCAGTCTTCCGTCCGCTTTTCCCAGGGGCCACGGGGAGCTGGGTCGGGACTCTGGGGGCCCCTACGTGGCCTCCCTTCCTCCTCCATCCTAGAAAGCAAATTTCTGTCTTTCCTGGATGGATGACTCATTCAAGGCTTGCTAGAAATGTGTTTCGGTTCCACATTCTTTTGGCTCAAGCTGGGTTTTATGGGGAGGCCGGAGAGAAACATGTTTCCAGCACAGCCGCCTGGAGCCCCGCGTCCAGAGGTCAGTGTTCGCCGCTGCCAGGCGTCCTTTCGGATGCTCAGGGAGGTGCGAGCCAGAGAACGTTTCCTTTCCTGCTGCCCTCCCCCCTTCCTCCCCGCGCCCACCACTTGCTAATGCCGAGCTCTCTCTGTTGCCCCTCTTTGTAGACTTTGGGCTGAGCAACTGCGCCGGGATCCTGGGCCACTCGGACCCATTCAGCACGCAGTGTGGCAGCCCCGCCTATGCCGCGCCCGAGCTGCTGGCCAGGAAGAAGTACGGCCCCAAGATTGACGTCTGGTCCATGTGAGTTGCCGAGTTTGTGAAACAGGCCCCCACCCCCAACCCCGCGTGGGCTCCGCTGCCCCTCCCCCCAGCGGCGGCGTTCAAGCCTTTGCTGAGGAGGTGTTAGGTCGGAGGCGCTGGCACAGTTGCCGAGTGACTCTTTGGGGCCCGGCTTCCCATGGCTTCCTTCTGGTCGTTCCTCCACAAACTGCCAGAGAGGCCGTTCCCGAAACTCGTCCAGGTGCCGGGGAGGTGAGAGGACCAGCCCTGTACTCACAGAACTCACGTCTTTTCCCTGCTTAAAATCCTCCCGTGTTTTTTCCACCAGCATCTGCACAAACTTGGCCCGGGGCCGGGTGACGGGGGCCAGGACCCGTCCGCCCCAGCGCCCGCCCCTCCCCTCCCCCACCCCACGCAGTGCTCACGGTCGCAGCTGCGCTGGCCTCCTTCCAGTCGCCCCGTCACCGGGCCTTGCCCACCTGCCCCCTCGCCCCGAAGGCCACCCAGCTCTCCACGTGGCCCGCCCCGTCCCACACTCCAGGCTGCACCTAGTGCCGCCTCCAGGGGCCGTCTGTGTCCCCGTTGCACGGCCCCCTCGCTCCTCACTCAGTCTCCTCCTAGTGCAGCACCTTCGTGTTCCTCCATTCCTTTGTGTCTGGCTCCCCGATGCTGCCGGAGGGCGGACGCCTGGCTGGCCAGCCCACCAGCGCCCAGCACCGGGGGCCCCACTGGAGCCCTGGTCCTGGGACCCAGGTCCCTCACAGTCCCCTCAGCCTCACGCGTCAGTGGCACAGGGAATAGGTGTGGAAGCTGGAGATGAGAGGGGCTGATTGGAGCTGAGGGCGAGGTGTTCCAGAGCATTCCTGGAGCTCACTGCAGCTCGGTGTCCGGCAGGCTCTGTGCCGTTTACTCTCCGCGGTGACCCGGGAAAGCTGGGACTTTCCATCAGCCCCACTTCACGGAGGAAGAGAAACTGATCATGGGAACTAATGAAATGTCTCAAGGTCACAGAGCCATGAGTGGGGCAGCTGGCAGTCCCCACCCAGGGTCTTGAGATGAAGGACTGAGTCTTGATTGTGTCATATGAGCCCTTGACTGGGCCTTCGATGAGCCATTCTGCCTGTCCCCCACCCATCCTCTAGCTAACTAACGCCAGTTTCCCGCCCCCGATGTGGTCCGACGGCCCCCCAAGCACAGCCCCTCCCGGCCAGAAGTGTTCTCTTTCCCTGGTGTTTTGGGGGAGGCCAGCAGCCCTGGGCCCTCCTGCCTCCTGCAGGCTGGCATGGCGGCCTCCCTCGTCTCCTCAAGTCCCTGATCTCTGCCCTCCTGGCCCTCACCTGTGGTCCTGGAGTCACTGCTCACCTGCTGGAACCCCTCCAACTGAGGTCAGAGGCAGGGACCACCCACGTTGTTCAGGGATCCTTTGGCACCTGGCACGGAGCCTGGGCTAGAGAGGGAGGGACGGACGGACGGACAGAGGGGGAGGGACAGGCCTGTCAACTGGGCAAACAAACACAGGGTCAGGGCTACAGTTGGCAGAGGAAGCCGACTGAGGGGCTGCAGAAGTGGGAGGAGCCCCTCGGTTCTGGTGGAAGCTGGAGAGAGAGGACGTAGGCGTGGGAACGGGGTCTGAGGGCCACGGAGTTCCCTGAACCTCCCCGCCCCCCACCTGGAAGGTCCAGCCCATCAGCAGGGGCACGTTAGTCAGGACACACTTCCATCGCCGATCCCCGGACAGACAGGAGGGGCCCGCCCTGCCCCCTCGCCGCTTCCCACAGGCGGTGTGACTGGGCCGCAGGTGACCGGTGGGGGTGCTGGCAGGGAGGGGCTGCGGGGGCCCTGGTGACTTGGCCGTATTGCTGACCACAGACTCCAGGCCGGGCCCGTGAAGGGCCCCGAGCCCTCCCCGACACAGCCACTGCCCAGCAGGGCCCGTCCAGGAAATGAAATGCGCTGGCGGACGGTCCCCTCTGGCACGAGAGACCTCCTACAAGTGTGGGTCACGCGACTGCCCTCCGCACCTGTTTAGGGACGAATATGGGTCTTTTTTCCTTAACAGCGAACCCATTTATGCTAAAGGGGAAGCTCTGAAAGGGACAGATTTTGCCCCAAAAATGAGAAAATGAGGCTGTGGAGAGTGGGGAGCCTGAGAGACCAAGAGATTCGGGGGTTTCGTATAAGTTTGGCGACAGGGAAGGGGGTGGGGACACAGTGACCAAAGGGAAAGCGAAGACTGTGGCTGGGAGAGCAGGCGCCAGTTTGCCCCTGAGGTCTGGCTCTCGAGGGGACTGGACAATAATATGGTGTGGTCACCGGTTGTCATGGTGACAACCACGGGGCTCAGCCTGTGGGAGGGGCCTCTTTCTAGCCGTCCCTGCTGGGGCAGGAGTGTCCTCGGGTCTGGGAGTAGGGTGGAAGGAGGGAGCCCTGAGCTTGTCACAGCCCTGGGAGAGGCCTGGGCTGTGCGGCCAGGGGGCTCTTGTCCCCTCCCGGTCACTGTAGGTAGAAGGAAGCCACTCACCCCAAATACCGGGCAGCAGAAACCCAGGCTGCCCGAGCCGTGCTGTCTGAGGGTCAGTTTCTGGCTCAGCCCCTCTGCCCAGTCCTTTGATGGGGCAGGGACCCCCTTCAGTGGCCATGGATGCCCCGCTTCTCCATTTTGGGAGCGGGTCCATTGCCACCTGCTGTTACCTGGGAGCAAAGACTGTGTCCAGAAACAGTGGGGGCGTGGAGGGGGGTGCAGGTGCAGGAAGGGTGGGCATGGCCCAGGACCAGGGAGCGGGGACGTGCCTTCCTGCTCCCCAGCTGCCGTTGTGCTTGGGCCAAGTGGGGGGCCGCTGGGCGTCTCTTTCTTTGCTAATGTCCTGTTTACTCGCATTTTCCCCACGAAGGAGGCACACTGGCAGAGGACCCTCCACAAAGCCCCCAGCAGGCCTCACTCCTGGTCCTGGTGCCGCCAAGTAACACGCTCCAGAGGCTTCGCTAGACGGCCCTAAACCAACGGTGGTGGTGTGGGTCCGGAGGCCCGGGCGGGACCTCCGACTAGACCAGACAGGGCAGCCCCACGGTCTGTCCCGGTGCCCCCGGTCCCTGTCCCCGTGCCCCAGGGGGCGGTACAGCTGAGGGGGCTCCCTCTGCTCAGCCCGAAGCTTCTCCATGTTGTTGGTCCGTCTAGTGAGCGAGCCGCCCCTGGAGCAGTCCTCAGAGTCGGGGCTGTGTGGCCCACGCCCAGTTCACAGACACGGCCCAGGTCAGGTCTATTTAGAGCTGTGATAAAGCCTAACAGATCGAAGTCCTGACCCCCAATGTGGTGGCGTTTGGAGGCAGGGCCTTGGCGGGTGTTTCGGGTTAGGTGGGGTCAGGTGAGGCCACGCACACGGAGCCCCGGGAGCAGATTAGGGTCCTTATCAGAAGAGGGTCCAGAGAGCTCACACGTCCTCTGTCACATGAGACACCGTCACACAGTCTGTGAGCCAGGAGCACGGCTCTCACCCTGACCTGGGACGCCCAGCTCCGCACTCTGGGAAACAGAGGCCCATTGGTGAGGCCTCCCTGCCCGTGGTTCTGGTTGTGGCAGCCTGGACTGACCCAGCCACAGGCTTCCCGCAAGTGTCCCTGGGAGCACAGGGCAGGCAGGAGGCGGAGTGCAGGGAACACCCGCGTCTGCCGTCCCGGTCCGGTCGGGTCAGGAGGGCGTCCGAGGCCAGCACAGCCTGCGCGTGCGGGTCCAGGTGGAGTTTGCCGGGTGGAGGGGCGGGGCCCTCCCAGCCAAGGTGGGAAGGCCACTGTTGCTCTCAGTCTCGGAGAAAATGGGAAGCTTCAGAGCCTGTGGCGGGCGTTAATTTTCTGCTGTTTTGGGAGGCTGTGTCTGAGACGCAGCAGGTCTCTGGGGCCTTCACCTTGGCTGCCATGTCGGACACGGAAAACCCAGGGAGAATGCAACGTAAAAGGCTGTCGGGAAGACGTGGAGCCAGTCCCCTCTCTGGTCAGACACTGTTGTCACCAAACGTCCCTTTTTCTTGCTCGGAAACAACAACAACTGTGAAGAGTCTGTCTCCCGAATTGAAAGCGAGCACCCGCTCCAAAGGGTCTGGCCCTGGGCGGACAGACGGGCCTTTTCCCGAGACTTGAGCCTGAGTGAGGGACAGAGCCGGCTTGCCCCTGGGAGGCTCTTCCCCACGCACAAGGCCGCAGCTGCCCCCCTGCCGTGAGTCCGGATGACGGAGGCGGAGGGCAGACCTTGCCTGCACCTCGGGGGGGGGGGGTCCCATCATTTTCAGTGGTCATGACTCTCATACATGGACCACGTATGAACATCTTTAAAATCGTTCACTTCCTTCCTCTCACCCAGATGAATGAAATACTTAGGTCTGTGTTTCCAGTCAGCTGGGAGATTTCAGATACGAAACCAGAAATGTTCGCTCTGGTGCAGTGAACCTTTTTTATTGCTAACCGACTTCTCCTCAGAGTGGCATGCACGGTAATTCAAAAAAATTTAATGCAGATACACCTTTTAAATGAAAAGAATCAAAATTGACTTTATTTTCAGAACATTATAATGCTTGTTGGAGAACATTGGTGTCTCTCTAAGGGTAACAGAGATGGAAATTGAGACTTCTGGCCCCAACAGGTTGAGAGTCCAGTATTTTTCAACCAAGGCTGCTGTTGGCTGTTGCGGGGGCCCCTGGGGTGGGTGACGCGTCTGCGTGAGGCCCGATGCTCGTGGGGATGGCGCTCAGACCCCCTCCCGGCCTCGTCGAATCTGTTTCCCTTCATGGGGTGCTCTGCCCCCAGGGCTGCCTTTTGGGGAGACCAGTTGGCCGAGAGGAGCCCATCCACTGGCTGGTAACAGAGGAAGGGGGGCATCTGGTCCAGGGCTCGACCCTGTTTTGTAAAAGTGATGCGTGACGGGACAGCCTTTTCTGTCTGTGCAGACCCCTCAACACGAGGGGCGGCAGGAGGGGGAGATGGAAAGGGGGGGCCCGGGCCTCCTTTTGGGTGGTTTAGAGCGTTTGACTTTCAAGAGAGAAGCTTGTTTTGGCTGCTGAGATTTTTCAGTTACAAAATCTGAGACTTTTTTTTGGTAGTTAGCATCTGCATTTAAAGTAGAAGAGGGGAAGGAAGGAAGGAAATGGGAAAAGTCTTAAAATCCATAAAAAACGACTTGTTGGTGAAAACAGATGAGGGGCGGTCACGACGCCCGAGGTTTTCCGTGGGGATGGAGCTGCTCCTGCTCTCAGGCCCCCCCACAACCGGTTTGGAGACTCTGCGCTCCCCCCCCTCCCCCCGCCCCCTCCCCCCCAGACCAGAACTGGCGTGGAACTTCGGTGCTGGTTCAGGTGCAGGGTTTTTCCAAGGCAATTTCTCGAAGAATCACATAGAAGCAGAGGTTGGCGGAAGGTTCTGTCTGCTGCATCTGGCAAATGGGGGCCAGTGTTTGGGGGCCCTGGCCACCCGCCCGCCCGTGGGGGCGGCTCCTCCGACCCTCTGCCTGCCAGCAGAGCTCTGGCCCCGGCGTTGCCCCTGCCTCTTCCCAGAGTCGCTGGCCGACTTCCCCACTCACAGTGGCCGGGACTCTGTCTTCTCAGCGATGGCAGGTGACGCCCCGTTTCCTCCGGGGAACACGGGCTCCGGATTTAATTCCGACGTTTCCCCGCTTCCGTTGTCCAGGGCCTCTCCCCAACTCCTCCAGCTGCCCCTTGGGGTCACTTTTCTTTCTCTTTTGTCAGCGGCGTATCCCACCCTGGCCAGCACCTCTGGGATTTCTTCGACCCAGTGATAGGCCCCTCCCCCCGTTTCTCTCTGCGCAGAAAAACCCAGGTCGTATTTGCTTGTTGCCTCCCTGCATCCCAGAGTCTCATCACTCTCTTTATTTAAAACTCTCTGTGGTTCTCAGGGGCCTCACGTTCGCCGTGGAGAAGCTAGAAAGCCCCTGGGCCGTGTTTCAAAGCCACGTTGGGCAATGCTGACGTGTTTGGGGGCCCGTGTTTGGGGTCCAGGCTAATGCTGCAGGGTTACCGAGATTCGCGGGCCGCGTTCCGCGTTTCTCCTCGGCGTCCCCACAGACTGTGAACCGGCAGAGGGCCAGCTCGCTCGCTCTCTGCCCAGGCAGTGAAGGAAGGAGGGGCTGTGGGTCTGCGGGGGGAGGGGCCCGATGCTCCACCCGGCTTCCTTCTAGAATCCCTGGGACCCCACGACCGTTAATGTGGGCGTCCCTAATTAGTGGGCAGGTACGGTGACAAGTATGTCCTTCCTCCTGTTGTTTTTAAAAGTTTGGGGATGAAACAGTGGGTCACATTCGTTAGGCAGTGAATTTATGCAAAACCAGCCCTGGGCTCCTTCCGCGGCTTAGTTCACTTGCCACCCCCCCACCCCCGTCCAGCCCGAGCGGTGAGTGCGGTTACTGTCCCTGTGTTGTAGACCCGAGGGCTCGGGGAGTGAGGGGGCGGGCGCTCTTTAGGGGTTCATGACCGTTCTTGGTGACAAACTCCTCCCAGGGAACTGAATCCTGGAGTTCATTTGGTAAAACACCCAGTGGGAGTTACCATGGAAACCACTGGCTCAGTCCCCGCCGGCCCACAGCGGTTCTGGCACCGTCAGGACAAGCCCCTGCTACCTGTGTGTGTGGTCCCCACCGGGCAGCAGGGACTTCAGGTTTCTGTCGTCTTCTGCAGCCGGCGGGTGACTAGGAGACAGGTTTCCCGTCTGGAGGACGCCCTGAAGGGCCACTTTCCCGCAGGGTTCAGAGTTGGCCCTGCCAGGCTGTGAGGTGACGGCCGCTTCCCATCGTGTCCCGGCCGCGTTCTGCGCCTGTGGCAGGGACCCCCGTGTCCCCCGAAGGTAAATGGGAATGCGGGGTCCGGCACAAATGACGCCTCTTTGACTACAGAACCTTTTATGACAAAATCGTGAGCATGTCACTCTGTAGCACAGCCTCACCCCACTGAAGCCGCCATGGTGCCCGTTAGGTGAAGTGTTCACACTGAAACTGGAAACCGTCACACCCGTATCTCGACCCCACCAACCACACTCGGGCAGTCCTTACCCCTGCGGACCCGTATAAACATCGGGGACGCACCTGGAGCACACCTGCGCCTCCCCTCCCCCGTCGCCCCCGCCCCCACCAGGCCCGTTGGCTTGGCCTCGCCCTCTCCCGAGCCCGAAGAACCCCTGCTTCTGTAACTTGCTTCCTGGGCCTGTGTGGCCCAGGGGGCTCACTTCCTCCCCCTCTGTGACTTTCTGGGTAGACCTCTTACAATTTGAAAAGGAACCGAAAGGTCAGAGGGCAATGTTCGTCAAACTGAGTGTGGTACAGCCTTGTAAAGGAAAAGTATTCCAGGGAACCCCTCTGCTTCACTAGTTATTTTTATTTAACTAGAAGTTAACTACAGCCAGGTCTGGAAGGACCCCCAGGTGCTCCGAGGGGCCACAGTGGCCGCCCGCCAGCGTTTGGAAGGGCTGTGCTCATTTATCTGTTTCCTTGCTGATCGTGCCCCCCAGTCCGAGAAGGCGGGACCTGGTCCGGTCCCCCCGCCCGACACCTGTACCCCTGCCTGTGGCAGAGAGCCAGCCAGCGAGAACTCGTGCAGCGGCTGTGTGTGGGCGACTGTGTGTGTCTCGACTCCACGCTGCCAGGGACGGAGCAGGGCGGGTCCCAGGGCACGTCCGCGATCTCGGGAGGAGGTCCAGCTGGGCACGGGCCACACCTGTGGCGGGAGGGCTCCAGTTCAGAGGCGCCTCGGTGGCATGGGGCCCCTGGGTCTTCTTTAACTGAAATCCGTCTCGTGGGCCTTGTTTCCACTGGAAGTGTGACTGCCTGCTTCTAAAACACGTTTCCCAGGGCGTGTTGGAAAGCTCGAGGCCTCTTGGCAGGCAGACACTTCACCCCGGCAGGAAATCTCATCTAGACCATGTCGGGCTCTGACGTAGGGAAAACAAACCCTCCAAGAAGAAGCTGCAGTTTTCTCAGTTGGCTTCGGAGACGAGCAGAGAAGCCTGTGCAGAGGGTACTCCGACCACACCCGAGAGACCGGGTCGGGGTTGGGTGGCAGAACGTCCCAGTAAACAGTGATGTAATGAGCGGCTAGGAGACACTGGTCCCCTGCAAGGAGTTTCCCTGGTTCCAGACCCGGCCAGAAGTCCAGGGAAGAGCAGAGTCCCCATGCTGGGTGGGACTTCAGGACACTGGGCCGAGCCGCTGCCGGGCCTGCGGCGGGGCTGTGACTTGAGCCCCATGCAGGTGCCCTGCCCCCCGGCTCCAGCTGGTAAACCGCAGCTGGACAACCACGTCATGACCAAACTGCATTCATTCGAGGCTCCTCCCGTGCCCCGTGTTTTCCACGTACTTTGGTCTGGACTTCCCTGCAGGAGGAAGGGGCGTGGCGCAGCCCTCCTCGGGGCAGCTCTCGGAGATCTGCAGACCCCCCTTGTCGCTGCCCCACAACTGCGCCCTCACCCGGGCCTTTCGCCTTGGCCATGCCGGGGTGGTGCTGCACGTTCCAGAGGGTTCTAGAGGGAGGGGACGGAAAGGTCGCGGGGCCTCACTGTGGCCTCATGCTGCGGCGTCTCTCTTTTCAGAGGCGTGAACATGTACGCCATGCTGACCGGGACCCTGCCTTTCACCGTGGAGCCTTTCAGCCTGAGGGCTTTGTACCAGAAGATGGTGGACAAGGAGATGAACCCCCTCCCCACGCAGCTCTCCACAGGTAACGTGCCTGCCGGCTGGGGGTCCAACTTGGGCACGGGCTGGGTTTGGCAGCGAGGGTGTGAGGACCACCCACGGCTCGAGGTCTCTTCCTAGAACTGGAACAAGTCTGGGGGGCGGCTGGGTCTCCCATCGCTGCAGAACCTCTCCCGCCATCTCTCCCCCGTCCTCCCCTTTCCCACTGGAGTTCTGAACTCCCAACCTCCCCTTCTGCTTAGAGCACAGGGAGCAGAAGGGTCTCGCCGTCTCCGCTGCAGAAATAACGGCAGGCTTCACGGCTTTGAAATGCGCCGTGTTGTAAGGTCGCCCGGGAAACGAGCGTGTGTGATCTGTGTGTGTGCGTCTTCTTCGGTCGGGTCACTGGGAAGAAGCGTTCGTTTCACTCTAGGCTGGTCTCCGATTTGTTCTGCTCTTTCCGTTTTCGAGCTCGTTCCACCTGGTGTGTCGTCTGGGAAGGGACCTCAGACTCGGCTGGTTCGGTTTCAGTAAACGGTTCACATTCGGATTTGGTTTCAGACCCAGGAAATTAGTGCAGCTTGTTTTTTGTGTGTAGATCACAGTTCACGTTGGTTCCTCGTCCCAGCTGGTCTGTTAAATGGCCCCTTAGACCAAACTGTGCTTCCCCGTGATTAGACAGGAGGCCAAAGGAGGTAATTAGTTAAGGAAATGTGGTTAAAATGTAGCATTTCTATTTTGCCACTGTTAACGTACTTTTTTCTTGAGTTTATAAAGCATCTACGAAACTGACCCTGAACTTGTGTTTGAAATGATCAGATTCGTCCACACTTGAACCTTTGCTAGAGAGGCCGGAAGCATGATAGGCTATGTACCTGTGCAGGTGGGGGGGGGTGTGTACTCCTGCAGGTGGGGGGGTTGGCGTGTGGTCAGGGAAGGTGAGTCAGGGCTCTGACATCATCAAAGTAGCACCCCCTCGCGGAGAGCAGGGAGGCGGAGTTGGCAAGCGTGCGGGGTGCTGAAGGAACGGTGGTTGCATTTCGGTGTTGGCGCTCAGAAGGGCCGAGGGTGCCGCGGAGCCCTCTGACAGCGCCCTCCGTTCTCTCCAGTTCTCGTTCACCCCGTTGTCCGTGAAAACGTGCTGCACGCCCCCCTCATGGTGGGAACAGCCGGGCGCCAGGAGGCAGGAGACAAAACAGATTCAGTCTCTGCCGTATAGAACTTTTGCGTAGCGGCACACTGAACGTGTGATGTTCGCCTGTGGATGTGTAAGAAAAGCAAATCCGGTGAGAGGACAGGGAGTAAAGATGGCTTTTTTAAAAAACAGATGAGGTTTTTGAGCACCTTTGTACCGCGGCCCAACCGTGGGCCCCGTGCGGTTGTAAGGAGTGGCAGAGCTGCGTCTGTCCTCACCAGGGTCCCCGCGTTGGTAGCGTGTCGGGTGCCTGCAGTGCTGTGTGGCCGCCAGGAAAGCGATAGTGAGGAGACCCTTGACCTTCTCCATGTTGACACCCCCTGGCCCGCACGCTCGCTCAGCCCAGCCCCCGCCGACCTGCTCCCGTCTCTGCCATCCCGCCCTTTCGTAAGAGCTGCGCGCTGGGCTGCTCGCTCAGCGGAATCCCCGGAGACCCCTCCCCACGGCCGTGCGTCGGTCGTGTTTCTGGAGTTCCCGAGCGGACTTCCGCGGTGGTAGCATCGAGGTCTGCTCACCACGTGCTCACCTAAGGGCGTCGTGTGGCCCCCAGCGGTGGGCTCTCCTGCACGAAGCTGCCACCAACTCCGTTCCGTGTACAGGTTTCTGTGTAGACACGTTTCCGTCCTCCGGGGCACAGGCCCGAGGGGAGCTGCAGGCAGGCGGTGAGCCCCACTCCGTGGCCCCGCTGCTCCCTGGTCGGAGGGGCTGCGTGGCCGCCTCCCCTGGTCATGGGCGGGCGACCCAGGTTCTGCGTCCGCAGCTCTGCCTGCGCGGGATGCTACTGCTGTGTCTTATTTTAGCCCTTCTGACGGCGTCTAAGGACGTCTCGCGGTGAGTAAGGTCCGGTGTCGACAAACAGGCAGTTATTCCAGCAGCCTCTTCGCCAGGTTATACTGTCACCCGTGACGTCACCGCTCAGAGCGATTCTGGGTTTCCGCTCGGGGCTCCGAGCCTGTGGGTCCACGGGACCCGTGCGAAAGGGCACCAGTTGGAGGGTGTTTGCACCCCCGAGCCTGCAAAAGGAAAGCCCCGGAGAGCTGCCTCTCATCATGCTGGTCAGGACAGATGGCCGGGCGGTGGGTGGGGACAGGTAGCCCCCGACTCCCGGTGGCCCAGGCAGCGGGCAGGCGTCTCTGCTCCACGCCTCACCTTCATCGAGGGGGAGGGAGGGCCAGACCGATGGGGCGGGAGCTCCCGACTTCCTCAGACGGGTCATCACACGAGACAGGGCGGCCCTGCCGCGTGTCCACGAGTCAGAGCGCCCGGACGTCTGCTTGGCAGCCATCGTGGGGAGAGGAGTGGGAGGTTCAGCCTGCGGTTGTCACGGCAGCGGTGTGGGGGCGCAGCCAGGGGGTGACAACACAGGGGAGTCGCTCTCGTTCCTTCAGGACAACCTGTGTCACCCCCAGACTCTCCCCGGATGGATGTAGTGGGCAGGGCTGTGAGTGCTTCCTGCTGGGGAGATAAAATTTGGCCTGAGGAAGTGGGAGTTGCACCCCCAGCGAAGTTAGTAAAGAGTCCAAAGGAAGTTCCGGAGCAGATCTGCCGGAAAGCTCCCAGCCGGGCCGGCACCCCGGTGCTGGCGTGCAGCCCCGCACAGCGGAGCAGGGCTGGGCCTGGGCCCGGGGCTCTGCGCTCGGCTCCAAGTCTCACCCCCCACCCCGGCCTCCGTGGTCTTGGCTCGCCAGGCGTGGCCTGCTTTGCCGAGTCTGGTCTGCGTTAAGGAATCCGGGTCCCCGCCCTTTTTCAAAACTCTGCTGGGACACGTCAATATCTCTCTCAGCCGGGCTCTGCGTGCCGAGCGGCATTTGCACACGCTGAGCACTCATGTCGCCTGGCGAGTCCATGAGCAGACCCTGCTGTTGGCATGTGTGGCCCGGAGCACAGCCCCCAGGGTCGCTGGACGGGTCAGGCCGGGAACTGGCCGGAGGTGTGAGGTCCAAGCCGGGCGCCAGCTGCCGAGGGGCCCAGGGCACCTGACCCTGCTCACAGGGCGGATGGCATGCGTTTCGGAGCTCAGCCGCCGCCCTCTGCGGCCCCGTTTCGCAGCTCTTCGCCCTTTGCACCCCACCACGTTCACCTCTTCCCCCGGCCACTGGCCTGGCCCCCTCCATCAGTGACGCCGTCTGCTTGCACCCCCAGTGCTGGTTCCCCAGTGACCGGGAGGGGGCGGGTTATGAACGGGCGCGTGCCACTCACACCGCCTCGGCTCCGGCCACACCAGGGAGTGCTGCCGTCCCCAGCCTGTCCTTGAAGACATCGGAGGAGGTGCTCACGCCACGCCCACCACGGCCCCCAGGACAGCCGCGTGTGTTCCAGTCCCTTCTGCTCCTGACTGACTCTCAGGGCTTTTCAGGGCTCTTCACCCCCCTTCACCGTCCGGGCTGACTGGTACAGGACCTCGCTCCGAGGGCATGACCCCGAACCAGACCACAGGTTCTGCTGGGAAGCACAGGGCACTGGGGGCCCTTGGCGTTCTCCTGTACGAGGTGTACCCGCTGAGCAGGCGTCTTGGACTCCTCGGGCCTGTGGTGCCCAGAGACCCGGGGAATGGACCGGTGCTTCGTGGCTCAGGGAGGGGTGAGTCACCGGCATCGCGTCTCCGAGGTGCAGCGGGTGCAGCTTATGATGTGTGTGGCCGATGTCTCCACAGGAGCCATCAACTTCCTGCGCTCGCTGCTGGAGCCCGACCCTGCGAAGAGGCCCAACATCCAGCAGGCCCTGGCGAACCGCTGGCTCAATGAGAACTACGTGGGCCAGGTCCCGTGCAGCGTCGCCTACCCCAACCGGTGAGCCTCCCCGGGGGGGGGGGGGCGCCCTCCGAGAGCCCTGAACAGTCTGGACAGGGAGCTGGGTGTGACTCAAGGCAAAGCTGCTCCCAACCCGCTCCCACCCACACAGCCCTGACCAGCCCCCATCAGGGCACAGGAGGAGGTATGGATGGACCCTTGCCCTGTGCACCCTGCCCGGTGCCTGTGGAGGGCGGATGAGGCCGAAATCCGGGCCTTGTCCCCCTCATCACACCTACTGCTGAGGGGCATCCTTCCAGAGGGGCACCTTGTCTTCATACGAAAGGACCCTTTAGACCAGCTGCGCCCAGAGGAGCGTGTGTGTCTGAGTGTGTGTGTGTGTGTGTCTGTGTGTGTGTGTGTGTGAGTGTGTGAGACCCCCACCCGGCCTCCTCTGCCAGCATCCGTGGGATGCCTCTCTCTCCTCCAGACGACCCGTGGGCCCTGCCTCCAGGCGTCCGGGTGGGAGGGACAGACGGTGGCAGGAGTCGCTGGCTCCAGGCAGTGCCTCCCTAGGGCTCCCCGTGAAGGCTCCCAGAACAGAGTCCGAGGGGCGGCCTCCGTACAGAGGGCCCTGGGCTGGGGCCCCGTGTGGAGACACCGAGCCACATCCCGCTCAACGCCTGGGGGCTGCCCGCGGCCCCGAGACCAGCCCGCGGGAACGTTGCCCTGTGTGTTCTCCGCCCATTTGACGAGCGGCTGTGGCCAATGTGAGCAAGGCAATGGGGGCCCTGACCGCGGTCACTCGGGAGCCAGTGTGAGGCCGCGTGGGGCCGGCACCTCTCAGGCCTGGGGCCCGAGACTCGTTCCTCAGACCGCAGTGTCCTGCCCATTTGAGGTCAGGAGGACCGCTGGTGGACAGGGGCGAGGGAGTGGCAGGCCAGGGAGAAGTGTCCTCTGTGACCATGTTTTCAGGCTGCCCAGGAGGATCTGGAAACTTCCGCCAGGCCTTACGAACGTCGTAGTACTGGCGTCTCCCAGTGAGAGGGGCCGGCAGGGGTCTGTCTTGGGGAGGAAAGTGTAGGGCAGGGGCGTCGAACTCATTTTCACCGGGGGCCACGTCAGCCTCGAGGTCTGTTGCCTTCAAAGGGCCGAAACAACTTTAGGACTGTGTAAATGTAACTGCTCCTTCACTGTCAAGGAGCTGAAGTGACGTTTGGCTCTGAAGGCTGATGTGGCCCCCAGTGAGCGTGAGTTGGGCACCCCTGGTCTGGAAGAACCTGGGGGGACTCCTGGGACCACATCCATGTACCGGGTCAAACTTATGCTCCCATGGCAACAGATGAGGGGGGCTGCACCCCCTTGTGCCCCAGGACTCACACGAAGTCCAGGTTCCTTGGTTACCTGGGGCACCTGGGACTAGACTGCTGGTTTCCCGCACAGGCTGGCCTCGGGCCAGTATCTGAAACAGACCCCGGAAAGTCACCCCAGCCCGGGACAGAGACCGAAGCTGCGTCAGGCCTGCTCACCAGCGCCCAGGGAGGTGGGGACAACAACGCACAGGCACGCTCTCCGTTGAGCATGGGTGCCACCGGCAGCCCGAGGCGTCACTAGGCCAGCGGGTCACTGTCCCAACGAGCTGGCTCGATCCGCTAACACAGCCGCTGTCGCAGGAAGCGGGCCTGGTACTAGAAAGCGTTTCCCCTCGTTGGCCAAAGCGTCACTCACGGAGAATCACCCCGTGGCATCCCGTTTTGGACTGTCCGCCACAAGTTGCAGGCAGGCTTTCGTAGGTGGAAACTTAAACTCAAGTGTCCTGCGCTGGCTTTGCCGGGTTAGGGTTTTTGAACTTGGACTGGGTCACAAGTGTAAGGCTGTAAAAACGGTGGGGATCTCGTGTGTTGCAGACGGGGCTCGCGTGGCCTGTCCATGGACGGCCCGCTGCTGGGTGTCCCCTAGAGGCAGCTCGATGTGCGGTTTTCAGGGATGAAGCTGGAGCTCTGACCTTGTTGGGGGAGGCACAGCTTAGTTACTGTCTTGGTTTTGCAAAACATTTGAGGTGGAAGAAAGTGCCAGTTACTCCTCTGGTTGTACCGGCCCACAGGTAAATGCAGTAGGAACACGGGACCTGAGAAAGAAATGTTCTCTCCATAAAGCGTGTTCTGTAGCTCCCCAGGACGCCCCACCCCAGATTCAGTTCTGTTAGATGTCGTCAGCGTTTCCCGTTGGGGAGAAAGGAGAGGAAGGTCCTCTGGAGAGCTCCCCCGGTGCCCCTCAGCCCGCCCGCCTGGGCTCCGTGGCCATCCATCCGCCTGGCCGTCTGAGAGGCGGTGAGCGTGGAGGTGGGCCACCTCGCCAGGGGGCCCGGGCCGAACTCGGGGGCTGGTCCTCCCTGCTGCTGGGACCCCGGGCACGTCACGTCACGCCATTGCCGTGGGCCGCCTTTCTTCATCTGTGAGTGGGGGGATAATAGCGCCCCCTCATGGGAATGTCGTGGAGGCTGCGTGGGTTCCTGTCCCTCTTCCCCACAGGGAGAGGCATGTTGAATGAATGAATGAATGGACGAACTAGTGAATTAGTGGGTGGATGAGTGAAGGAGCGCCTGTATTTCTTGGGCGCTTTATCCCAAGGAGTTCAGCTCTACAACTGTCCTGCAGAGGCTGGACCTGTCTGCGCAGACCACCCTGCTTTGCAGCCGGGCCCCCACTTTCCTGCTTATGAGCACATGAGCTCACGCTGTTCCTTTAAACCCCGTCTGGGTGGGTTCCCGAAAACCTGCTTCATTACCCAGCTTACACCCACTTAGGTGTAAGTGGCCCATCCAGGCGCTGGGTCCACGCAGGGGAAGGACACTATTTCCTCCGCTTTTCTGTGGAAGGGACCTTCGTCCCGATGCAGTCAGCGAGCGGCCGGGGCGGTGGCCCTGGGCTGCGTGGGGGAGAGGCCGCTCAGCGGCTTCCCCGTGTGGGCGGCGGGGTGACCGCGCCCTGTCCCTCTGCCGCCAGGATCTCGCTGGCCGACCTGAGCCCGAGCGTGGTGCTGCACATGACGGAGAAGCTGGGCTACAAGAACAGCGACGTGATCAGCACCGTGCTCGCCAACCGCGCCTGCCACATCCTCGCCATCTACTTCCTCCTGAACAAGAAGCTCGAGCGCTACTTGTCGGGGGTGAGTGTCCCCTCGATGACGCTTGATCTCGGCAGTTACTTCAGACCGAGGGGAGGCTGAGGGTCCCGACAGGGGGAGGTGAAAACAGCAGCAAACCTGCCTGTTGGTGGGGCGGGGCGGGGTGGGGGGCACACTGTCCATCCGAGGCGTTTTTCCCGCGTCCTCACGCAGAGTCCGGCTCCGCAGGCTGCTGGGAGGCCGGGGCCTCTTCTCCCTGTGGCTTCTCCTCTGCCTTCTTGCTGCCACTTCGTAGCACCCTGGGGTCCCCGCTGGAAGCACTGGGGACCCGTGTGGCCATCGAAGCTGGGGGCGGTGCACTGGGGAGACCCCCTATGCACACTTGTTCTCCAGAAGAAGGAGGAGAAAGCCACCGCCTGGCTCCTGGCCGCTCTTCTCCAAGGCTGCAAGTCGGAGTACAGGTGGCCCGTGCCCCTGTGAGGTCCTGTGGGGTCCCACCGCCCGGGTGGGGTGGCGCCCCCCGCTTGGTGGTTACCTGGGGCTGCCAGTTCACACGTGTGGTGGCAAGTGTCGGTCAAACCAGCTCTCTTCGGTGGACAGTGGCTCGGAAGTAACTCCCCAGAGAAGACCGGGTGGAGGGCGGTGAGGGGGCTGGGCAGCATGCGTGCTGCCCCTGTACGTAGGTGGGGGGGGCTGCGCCGCCCTGACGGGAGGTCCGCCCGAGGGGTGCGGACTGCCAGGCAGCCGTGGGCAGCTGGGTGCGGTCAGGACGGAGGGCGCCCACCCAGTGGACGGGCACCGCGAGGCCTGGCTGTGGGGCCCGTCGCTGTCAGGAGGACACGTAAACCCACCACGAAGGCGAACTTCTCGCAGGGGTCCGACCTTTGGGCGTCTCAGGACCACACGTAAATCCATCGTGACACGTAATCACACACAAAAATCTCATCGTGTTTCAAGTAAATTTACGCTTTCGTGTTGGCTGCGGTCACAGCCATCCTGATCCACACGTGACCCTTGGGCTGTGGGCTGGACACCCCTGCAGCCCAGCGTTTTTTGGTGCTGTTTAAAAGATAATTCTAATGTTTCACAAAATTTCCCTACAATAGGCTTGGAAACCTTTTCTTTCCTCACTGAGGGCTTTTTCTTTTTTCACTGGTTTTAGAGAGAAAGGAAGGGGAGAGAGAAACACGGATGTGAGAGAGAAGCATCGATCAGTTGCCTCCCCTACGTACCCAGACGGGATGGAACCTGTGGCCCTTCGGTTACGGGACGATGCTCCAACCCGCTGAGCCATCCCGGCTGGGACGTGGAAGCCTTTCCTGAGGTTCCCAGTTGAGAGATAAAGATGGACGCCCTCCCACAACCAGGGAAACGGCCCCCTCTGTGCCAGAGCACGGATGCCCCTGTCGTGCCCGGAGGCGGGACAGTTAAGAGGGTGTCTCTGCAGTGAATGCGCTCGGGAGGCGTCCGGGAAACATCTGGGTGCAGCGACAGGCCTTCCCAGGGGAACAGGCAGGCGGAAGGACAGGTGTTTCTGAGCTGGAGCAGCGTGGGGTGCTCACGTTCCTTCCACAGGAAGCAGTTCACAGAACACCTGTGTCCTCGGAGCCACCGAGGAAGGGTGTTCTCAGGAAGTGACGCTCTCTGAGGCCCAAGGCTTTTAACAAAAGAGCGGCAATTTAGGGGGAAAGGCGCTCCGGGAGCAGAGGGCGGGACTGTGGATTTGGAGACCGTGCCAAGGTCTCGGGGGAGCCGCTGTGGGGAACAGTCGAGGGAGGCAGCAAGAGGGGCCCCTGGACACAGAGCTGCTTTATGTCACTCGTTAGGTGACAAGGAGTGACGGAGAGACTCTCTCCTCCCGCCAGGGCTCGCCGTTCTGCCGCGACGGGGAATCGAAAGGCAGGCCGTGCTCGGAGCTGTTTCTCGTCTGTGTTTTCTCAGAGGCCCGTGTCCCTCCTCATTTCTCTCCCATCGCTTTCTGTTCACGCTTTATCACCTGTTTATAATACACGTGACACCTTGGTAGGGCGTTTCGTGCTCGTGATTGATCAACAAATGGGCACGCAGTCCAGGCGCCCGCCCACAACACTTCCCGGGGAGCTTGACGTCACACCCCTGTCACCGCGGTGGAGGGCGGCCACTGGGGATTGAAACAGGTCAGAGGGAGGGAAGAGGCCCGACGCACGACCCTCAGGAAATGAGTCTTTAGTCAGCGTTTCCCTGAAACAGGCCTGAGGTCCACGCCCTCGTGTGTGTGAAGGGCGGCCTGGCTCCTGCCCTTGGCGGCCAGCAGAGGCGTCGCTTGGCCTGCTGACCCGCTAGGTGGGGGCGCTCCGGTTGTTCAAACGCTGTCTCTCCGGCGTCTCCCTCCACATCTGCAGGGGCAAACTTGGTTTTTCGCACACTCTTCCCGAACATTCTCACCGCACGGCCGGTGCGGGAGAGACCCGCGTCCCCCCGGGAAGTCCCGCCGCCCGCCGCGCTCTGGCCTCAGGGTTGCGGGGCTCTGTCTGCGGAGAACGTTCTCCGAAACCTCAGCTCGTGAAACTCTCGCTGTGGACGGGCCTTCTTTCCCTGAGTCTGTTCCGCCCTCAGCTCCGAAACCAGAGGACGCACCTGGTCTCACAGCTGCTCTAACTGGAGCGACCGGTCCCCATGGGCGAGGACGGCGCTGCTCGGCTCCGGCGGACAGCGGCTAATTTAATCGCACCGGGTGCCCCGTCCCAGTTCTTAATTTCCACTAATTAAGGACAGCACGTGTGATTTTGAAAATGAAACTCGTGATTGAAAGGGAGAAACGGCCGTTTCTCAGCCGCCTGCTGGTTCCCCTGCTCTTTTGATCCCTGTTCCTCTTTTCCAAAGCCAAGGAGCAGGGGGTGAATTTGAATCTCGCAGGGGCGTTCTGTGAATACGTGTTGGTGGACGAATGAATCGGCCCGAGTCTCACCTGTCTGCAGATGGGGGCGGGGGGTGGCTGGCCATCGATCGCAGGTGCAGCTGTCTGTCTTCTTCTTCTGGACCCGGATGAACTGCTGGGACTCTTCTTGGGGTGGGGGGCAGACAGGGACCGTTGTCAGATAAGCCAACAACGAAGACCTGTGTCCCCGGTGGCAGTTCAAATGAACGGAGTTACCCTTCCCAGCTTGGGTCCCGAGCTGCACGCTGATGCCACAGAGCGTCTCACTGTGCACACGGGGGCCCCTGGCCTTCCCCGGCAGAGCCAGGGAGGGGGCTTCCCTGCCAGCCGCTCGAGCCCAGCCCCGGTTTCAAGCCGCATCAGCCTTCACGGACGTTTGTTTCCCGTGTGCTCAGCGTGCTTTCTGTCTCCTCGGCAGAAACCCGACACCCAGGACGGCCTCTGCCCGAAGACCCCGCTGTCCCAGGTGGGCAGGTGCAGGCCCAGCAAGGAGCCCTACGAGGTGAGCGGCCTGCGGCGCCCCGGCCGTCTGAGAACAGCCACCTTCCGTGGCTGGGGAGCTTGGGGGGGACAGCAGCGGCCAGGTGTCGGGGAGCGGCTCCGGGGCCCTGCCCACACGCAGCCCCCCGCAGCCTGGCGTTCTTCTCGATTTCACTTCTCAAGGAGACGAAGCAGCTGAACTAAGTGGACAAACTTTCCCTCTTGGGATTTCGGTGCCAGGACCTTGAGACTCGGCCCCGTCTCCCCTCCTCTTCCTGCCAATGGCAGAGAGTGTGTCCTTGAAAGGACTCAGGCAAAGAACTGTTTTCCCCACTGTCCCCAAACTTCAAAGGGATACCACAGGCTTGTCTCCATCCCGTCTTCAGATAAGGGCCTGTCCTGAGCACCTGGGGCTGAGGACCCCCACGTAGGAACTTGGGGAAGCACAATCCCATCCACAGGTGGGACCGTGTACGTGGAGGGAAGATACTAAGCTGTCCGCTTTGAGTCTTGTTTCACAACCTTGACACCTTTTTACAATGAAGTTTCTCAGGCCAGCTGAGCTGTTAGAAACCAGGACGGTAGTTGCCTTGGGGACTGGGGGAGGGGACACGGGTGGGGCCTGAGGGGTGTCCAGCGTGGGCTGCCCACTTGCCCCGGGAGCCCTCCTCTGTGGTCCCTCGGGGCTGAGAAAAGGTCCCCGGAACGTGCATTCAGCACGTGACTCAGGACGCCTGCTGCCTGCCTCCACCGCGACCGGGGGGTTGGTGTCCAGTGTAAGCACCCAGGTGAACAATTCTCACACCGAGGTGCGTGGTGGGGGTGCAGGTGCGGGAAAAACAGCAGGTGCGGCCTCTGAACTGGTGACAAATGCTGCTGTCCGCAGGCCTCCCTGGACACCTGGACACGGGACCTGGACTTCCCGGCCGTTCAGGTAAGCAAGCCCCTGGGGTGCTGATGTGCATTGGTCAGTGTTCTCCGGAGAAGTGGACCCAACGGGGTGCCCATGTCCCTGCATGGACACCCAGGGCAGAGGTGGCATCTCAGCTCCCACCATCCCAAAGCCGTGGGAGGCCGGAGCTATCTTCCTGGGGACCCTGCTGTCTGCCTGTCTTAAGGTCGTCCACTGACTGGACAAGGCCCCCTGTGGTGGAGGGCCACCTGCTTTACTCACTCTGCTGATTAAAACGTGAACCTCACCTGAAAAATTCTCCACGCCCCCCCTCCAGGCTGGTGTTTGACCAGACACTGGCTGCCGCGACCCAGCCTCCCGGACACGCCGTCACGTGTGCCCGAGGGCTGCTGGAACCCTGCCCGGCGCCCTGGGCTCTGCCCGCCCGTCCTCATTCTGAATGGAACATGCAGGGCGCCCCCCCCCGGCCGTGAGTGGGGCTACACAACACTGTCAGTGACAGGTCCTGTAAATCCCCACGCGTGTCTGCAGTGGGTGGTTTGCACAGAAGCAGCTGCCGTGTGTGCGGCCCACACCAGGGGCCACCTGAGGTCCCCTCTCCGGTCTGCCTGAGGGGGGTTGGGACTGTGCCTTGTGGCCCAAAGGGGACCTTGTAACCCACAGCTTCAGATCCACCCCCTGCCCTCAGGCTCGGGGTGTGGGGCTCAGCTCCCAGGAGACTCAGGCTGAGAAGGAAGCCGGGAGGCCCTGCACCGGGCGGGACCCCCCTGGGGGCGGGGAGTGGGGAGCAGGCGCCAGCACGTGGAAGGCGGGCGTGTCCGTCCGTCTGACGCTCTGTCTGTCACGCAGGGCCGTGGAGCTTGCTGCTTTCTAGGGACCCTCTTGGGACACGCAGGCCACGCCAGTGGGAAGGGCGGACCTGACAGGCATTGCGACCGTGACCTGCACTCGGGGGCATGGCGCTCGGAGGCAGGCAGGTTTCCGCGGGCCGGTGACCCTTCCATAGGGACTGACCCAGCGGCTGGTCCCCAGTGGCTTGTCCCTGGCAGGGAGCAGTTGGGTGGCCAGTTCCTGGCAGCCGCCTGAGAAACCAGTCACTGCAGAGTGACCCGCTGTTTTAGGCTGAAGGACAGGGGGGTACAGGGTCCTGGGATTAAGTCCAGCAGGGTGGTTGGAGCAGGGTTCCCGGAACTTTCCTTTCTTCTGCCCTCTCAGGGCTTGTCGCCAAACGTCCCTTTGTCGGTCACAGGAGTGGTTTCTAGAGCCAGCCTTGGTCTCTTTCTGCAGAAAACTCCTGGCTGGACGCCTCTCTCAGGGGGGTGACCCATTGTGTCTCAACCCTTCAGCTTTGGAGAGCCCAGCGCGCCAGGGAAAGGGCCTGAGGCAAAGCCATGGAGACGCCCGCAGCCCGACTTTGCAGGACCGTCGTCATGGCCCCTCGATGCTTGGGGAGGGGTGGGAGCTCTCTTCAGCCTTCGAGAGGGGGGGCCGCTCTGCAGGAGCAGGGAGAGAGAAGCAGGGGACTGACCAAGGCGACCTGGAGTGGACGGGCCCCTCTCCCCTTGGCGGTATCGAGCCCATAACCCGGAGCCCACGGACCCCAAGCGGTGTCCGCCCTGGCCGGCAGATGCAGCTGCCCTTCGTGCCTGTCACCGGGATGGCCCGCCCTTCCCTGTCCCTGGCTCCCGGGGGGCAGTGTGGAGTCTGGGTTACCAACTCTGGTTTTGGGGCTCTGGGGAAATCAGATCTTCCTCAGGTTCTGGGGTTAGTTCCTTGCTCCCACTGCCCCTTGTCTGGAGGACGGCTGGACCACGGGCCTTGCCTCATTGGCTCCCCTCTGTGTGTGGTGCCTTGGGCTCCAGGTGTCCCCGGGAAGGGCTGCTGGTGGCTGTGCAGACACTGGGGAAGCAGAAGCTTTGCCTCGCCTTACTTCCTGCCTCACTTCTCCCTGGGGCACAGGCCGCCGCGGCCGGGTCTCTGGCCTTGCACGGTGACACCTGGGGCTCAGTGTGGCCTCCCTGCTGCTCTTTTCCACTCAGACGCAGGATGGGACACACTTGAGTCTGAGGCCTTTCCACGTCCCCACCGCAAAGGCCCGGCCCCGGTCCAGCTGTGTCCCTGGGAAGCTTGCGGCTCCTCCGTGAGAGCAGGCCAGGTCTCAGAATGAGAAGGCTCCCAGGTTCAAGGTGGGAGTGGGGCCACCGGCCCTCTTCCCCCGGTCCCTCGGGGTCGGGCAGCCGCTGCCCCTTGAGAGGCAGCCATCACACGGCTCCTGGGGCCCCGCCTCCCGGGGGCTTGACCTGGTTTCATGCTGATGCCTGCAGTGCCCACTGGCGTTTCATTCTTTAACGCTCGATGACTGTTAAGTCTGTCCCGTGGGCCTGGCCTCACGCTGAGGCTGTGGGTTTGAAGGTACAGGAGTGGAATTCACTCCTGTCGGTTGCAGTCGAGTTCAGTGAAAGCAAGACCATGGCAAAAGGGCCAAATAGCTTTTAGAGACGCAAGTGAGTGCTTGCATGACCAGGGGTGGCGGAGTGTCGGGGCCCCCCCCCCCACTGGCTCGGGGTCTGGCGGGCTTCCTGCCAGCCCTCGGCGTGGCCAAGCCCACCAGGACGGCCACGTCCCGGTGAAGTAGCTGCCTTTCCGCTGTAGCGGACCCTCAGGGCTCTACTTTATAGCAAGACGGCAGGTTCCAGAAGCCTCCCCTGCTGTGCCTCCGTTTGTCTAGCTTGTTCTAGAGTCATCAACCTCCCAGGGATGACCCTGCCCAGGCTGGGGCCCCGGGAGGTGACACAGTGCGGGTTGCCGAGGACAGTGGAAGGTTGGGGGCGGGGCGCCTGAGGCTCCCCAGGCCTGGCTCTGTTCAGAGACTTGTGAAAAACTGGCTTTCTCAAATCTGCGTGGATAACCCTTCAGGCAGGAATCACATTGTACGGGGCTGGCCAAAAAGTCAGTTACGTTTTCCCCATAAAAGACGCATTTCTCATTTTCTCCAGTAACTTTATTGACTTGGGTAATTTACGCGTGGCGACTATCTCCTGCTATTGGCTTCTACTGGGCAGAGACCAGGGGCGCTGCTCAACCTCCTCCCATGCCTGAGACAGCCGGCCCGCAAAGAATTACTTGGCCAAAATGTCAGTGGTACCAAGACACGTCTCAACCCACTTCTGACACGTTCGATCAGCCACAGCACCTTCTCCGTACACTGCACACATCTTTTTGTGTTTCAGTTACATTTTTACCTTTCTTGAAATAATAAAGCACAATATGCTGAAGAGGTTGTGTGTTTTCTCCCATCTTCAACATTAAAATGGCTGCACAAAAATGCTCCCAATTTTGATTTTTAAAAAAAAAATGAACGCTGAGAAGTGAAGTAATAGCCCTGGTTGGTGTGTCTTGGTGGATTGAGCACGGGCCTGCGAACCAAAGCGTTGCTGGTTCAATTCCCAGTCAGGGCACATGCCTGGGTTGCAGACCAGGTCCCCAGCAGGGGGCGCGTGAGAGGCAACCACACATTGGTGTTTCTCTCCGTCTTTCTCCCTCCTCTCTCCTCTGTCTAAAACTAAATAAATAAAATCATTTAAAAAACTCACACTGGTATGACAGCTGTCAAAACACAATCTGACAAACTTGTTTCGATGAAGTTAAAGACAACTAAGCCCTACTAGAACCGTCGTAAGGGATCAACTAAATGGACTTTTTGGCCAGGGCGGTTGATTCTTGTGTGTGTCTAAGTACTTGTCCACTTCTGATTTGAAGGACAAAAAGCCCAAAGAACAGGAAAAAAGAGGGGACTTCCTTCACCGGCCGCTTTCCAGGAAGCTGGACAAGCCCCTGCCCTCGCACAGACAGCCCCCAGCCTCACCGTCCACGCAGGTGCAGGGCACCAGGGTGCTGCTGAGGGACCGCAAGGCCACCAAGTCCGGCCTCCCCGACAAAGGTGGGTCCGCCGGGCCTGCGTGGCGGCCGCGTGGCCCCGGTACAGACGCGGGTCCTGCGCCCGTGGGCACAGTGGAGACCCGGCCGCCTGTGCAGAGGAGATGGAGTGAGCAGGGGTGGGGCGCGTGGGGAGGGGACCGTGCAGGGACCTCACCACGTCCTTGGCTTTCTTGGTGTGCAGATTCCTTCGGCTGCCGCAACATGTTCCGCAAAACCTCAGACGCCCACTGCGTGGCTTCTTCCTCCATGGAGTTCATTGCTGTCCCGCCGCCCAGGACCCCCAGGGTGGTCAAGAAGGCGGAGCCCCCTCAGCAGGGCCCAGGGAGCAGCGGGGTTCTGCCCCGGGAGGACCCCCTGATGCCGGACATGGTCCGCTCCTTCGAGTCTGTGGACCGCGACGACCCGCTGGAGCTGCTGTCTCCAGCCCATCACTGCGGGGCCCTGGGCTCCCCAGGGGGCTCGGCACACGGGAACCTCGGGGAGCGGGTGCTGTCCCCAGCCCTGCCGCCTGGAAGCCCATCTCCTCTCCAGACTTCTCTGCACCCCACTCTGGTCTCCTTTGCTCACGAAGACAGGAGCTGCCCCCTGAAAGAGGGTGGCGTGTGCGCCCCACCTCTGGGCCCCGGGGCCGGTGTGGCGCGGCCCCTGGGGAGCCCGAACTGCGTGAAAAGCCGCGGCAGGTTCCCCATGATGGGCATCGGGCAGATGTTGAGAAAGCGGCACCAGAGCCTGCAGCCCCCCGCAGACAGGCCCCTGGAGGCCAGCGTGCCCGTGCTGCTGCCCGCGGCGCCCAGCGGCCTCCCCTTCGATGCGGCTGACGGTGTCCAGGGCCAGTGTTGACCGGGGCCGGCGGTGGCCTGAGGACAGCAGTGGAGCCAACGCCTCACCTGCAGCGGCCTTCAGACCGCGGGGCCCCAGCTGGGCAGTGTCCCACCTGGGGGCAGCTAAAATCCCCAGGGGCCGGGGCTGTGGTGGCAGCTGGTGACAGCCATTTCCTCCCGCTCCCTCAGTGGCACTCGCGGTGGGCGTCGTGCACTGGCCCGGGGCCCCTGGGACTATGAACTATTACCCGCCTTCACTGTGAGCCCTGCCTGGGCCTCCCCAGGTCATTGCCTGTTTAGCCATTGGCCTCGCTGGCAGGACGCTGACGGCAGTGTCCTGCAGCAGCTTATCCGGGCCACAGTGTCCGTCCTTCTGCAGAGGTGACTGCCTCACAGGGAGCTGGGCAGGCCCCTCACCACTGGAGCCGGCTCCTCTGAGCAGGAGGGGACAGCTGGGTGAAGACTGGTCCAGACCGAGGGGACCCACCGAGAGAAGGAGACCAAAGGGGCGTGCACGCATTTCTGAACGAGGTTTTGACAGATTCTTCCCTTTTTGGTAGAAACTTGCTGATGGGTCAATGGTCTTCCCCAAAGATGATTTTTCTCTGTGTGGCATCATGAGGTTGACGTGACATTGTTTTAGAGACGGCGGGGGGGGGGGGGTGATCCACCAACCTCGTGCTTCCACAAGGGGGTTGGTGTGGGGGCGCAGAGGGTGACACAGGACTGTCTGTCGTGGCTGGTGGCCCGCGGCAACCTGCAGGATGGCACGGGCCTGACAGCCAGTCCCGAGTGCACGCCACTGTAGCAACATAGCCCTGACCCCAGCGAGGTCTGACTGAGTCTTGCTGGCACTGCCAGGGACTGTCTCCTCGTGGGGCCTCGGCCTGGCACTTGGGGACCACTGGGCCACAAGCAGCATGGGAAGAAGGACTGGCACAGGTCAGAGAGCAACTGATCCAGCAAACAGATCACGGCAGCCTGGAGTCCTCAGGCAGGAGGGACGGAAGCCACTGTGGTGGCCACGCCAGGGCGAGACACTGAAGCCGGCAGCGGCCCTTGAGAACTGGAAAGCCCGTGCCCATCTGCACTGGTGGCCCGACAGTGCCAGTGAGCGGGGGCGGCTCGTGTCTGCTCACCTGCCTGCGGGGACCTCCTCTGCCCCCACGTCCCTGACGGAGCGAGGGGAGGGCAGACGTCTGCTGACCCCAGGAGAGGTGGGGCTGCCCAGTCCTGGCTGACCTGGACGGACCTGCAGAGGCTGCTCTCCGGTGGATGGGCTCACCCCCCCTCGGGCTTGCCAGGGGGCATCCGGCTCCTGACTGTGCCGTGATTTCTTTGTATAGCTCCAGCCTGGGTTCTGGAACACTCCCTCCAAAGTAGAGCTTTCGAAGCGGAGAGAAGCAAGTGGAGAAGACCCTGTGCTCTGGACGGGAGCCTGGTTTTCGATCGGGGCAGAAACCTGTCCCGGAGGCGGTTCCCGGCAGGCTGCGCACCTGTGCCTTGGCAGCCCCGCCCGGCCGGCCCTCCTGGTGTCCCCCTTCCCGTGCGGATGTGAGCACTCATGTCGCTGTCCCCCGCCCCTCTCACGCTTCAAGAACGGCTGTCACTCCCTCAGGACCCTGAACTGAGAACGAACTCGGCGCATGACAGACCCAGTGAGAGGCGAGGGGCAGTGGGAGGGGCTGCGCTGTCTTTGCTGTTGTGCGTGAGCACCTGGCAGGTGTGTGGAACGGACGGGAGGAGAAGTGTTCGGTTCCTTATCATTTTATTGTATTTGTGTGGAAAGCCTGACTGTCCCGTTGGTAAGTCCGATGCGCGTTGTCCCCTCGACCCATGACTGTCTCTCATCTGTGTCCTCGGTCTGCCTGTGCCTCCTGCCGGAAGTGACCGGACCGGCCTCGTGGGAGGCCTGGGAGGGAAAGTCCCCTTCAGTGGTGTGGTTTGGTTGTAATCAAGGACTGTGCGTGTCCCCGTTACTAAGCGTCTGTACTCTTATAAAGACTGAATACACTCTCCCTCGCTGTGCCTGCCTCTCGTACGTGGTTGCCGACACGTCCTGAAACTCCCCTCGGGTGGTTGAGGTGCTTGGCCACCAGGTGGGGGTCCCGGGGGGTGGTCTGCGGGTGTTTGCTGCCCTTGCCTCCCTGCTTTGCGAACCGAGGTCCGTGTGACGGACACACAGCGAACGGCAGTTTGGGAGGAGTCAGTGTTTTTCTTTGGCGGGGGGCACGGGCTCTCCCACAAAGACTCTGAAAAAGGCACTCGGAGAATGTCACCTGGAGGTTTGGTCCTTGCCTGGGCTTCAGGGGGCCGGGTGAGGAGGAGGAGGATGGGGGTGTCTGGGTGGGCTGTGGGATCGCCCCACTTCTGACTTCGAGACTCTGCACAGCAGGTTTTCCACACATACTGCCCTGCTCACACCCTGTGTCCCCTGCTCAGAGGCTCGGAGGGTGGCGTGGTAGGAACCGAGAGCCCGTACGGGGCCCCGGAAGGTGGGTGGCAGGGAGGGGTGACTGTCAGGTCTTCACGTTGATGTTCTGTGGGGAGTCAACGTTTCTAAGGGGCCTGAGCTTATTTGGCTCAACCCCAGCCCTTTGGAGGAAAAGCCAGCGGGGGCCCCAGGAAAGGTTTGCTCCTCAAACAGATTTTTATGTGTTTGAACACCCTGGGGCCCTTGGGTGCGCTGGGCCGGGGGGCGGGACTGCCCCTCAGAGAACACAGAGTGATGAGACAGTGGCCACCATGATCAGAGGGAAAAGTCAAGAGCAAGCCAAGCCATCAGAGGTGTCCTCACACTTTTAGGTCATTTTAAATTGATCGAATGTTTAAATTTAGGTCTGAGGAGCACACTCCACCACCCCCATCGACTCTTGGAACTGGAGAAAGGGGTAATAGTAATAACCGTTGTTAGTATTTTTATGTAATTTGTGGAGGTGTTACGGGCCGGGTTGTATTCTCCAGATTCTTCTGTCGGAGCCCTAACCCCGAGTTGCTGGGGCGCGGGTTGGAGACGGGGCCTTGAAAGACGAGCAAGTGGGAACAGACCACCGAGGGGGTGGGTCCTGATCCAATGTGTCGGGGTGTCCTTAGAAGAAGAGGAAGTCTGGACCCGCAGAGGGACACCGGACATGCAGAGGGAACCACCAGGGCAAGACCCGAGACGGCGGCCTCTGCCAGCCAAGGAGAGGCCTCAGGACAGACCAGACCCAGACCTGCCCGTCACCTTGACCTCGGACAGTCAGCCCCCAGAGCCGAGAGAAGGGAACGCCTGCCGTTCCAGCCGTGGGGCCTGGCATTTCACCGCAGCAGCCCCAGGGGGCTGGCGTGGGGAGGGGGTGCAAACAGGAACATTTATATATTGTGTAAATTGCTCAGGTTTTCATACGTTGGACAGAGCTTACAGGCTCCGTCCCATTTCCTGCATCCCGTTCATCCTTTTCCTAACGACTGAATCGCCCCGGGGAGAAAGCCCGCCTCGTCGGAGCACCCGCCGCCCCTTGTGCCGGGGCCGTGTCCTTCCCGAGCCTGGTCCTCCGTCCGCAGCCCGTCCCGTAAGGAGCCAGAGTCAGTGGTTTGCACTTCGCTGGCTCCCACACATCCCGCCACCTGTACTTCTCCGTGTTTCCAGCTTCGGTTTTATTTTTATGAAGATGCTCACCATCCTCACCTGGTGGGCTGGCCAAGCCAGGCCCAGCCGACCTTGGCCCTCAGGCTGGAGGTGGCCAGGTCCTGCCTCGGCCCTCACAGGGACCCTGGGACGTGGTCATGTGTCTGTCTCCCGGGGAGGTGTGGGTGGCCTGCCCCAGTCACATCAGCAGGACTGCTGCAGCCACATGCTGCCCCCGCCCCCAAAAGGGAGACGAGGGGCTTCTGGCGGGACAGGCGGGCTGGCGTTCTCCAGAAGAGTCCATCTCGGTGAAGCTGCTGAGGGTCGGTCTGGCCCACGGAGTTAGCCTGAGGGCGTCGGAGGTGGGGCGGACTGGCCTCTCTCTCCGCTGCTGGGAGACTTCCATTGCTCGGCTGGGCTTCAGCCTGGTCCCAAGGGTTTTAGAGAGAGAGGAAGAGGGGACAGGGAGAGAGACTGAGAGAGAAACATCCACGTGACAGAAACATCAATCAGGCTTCTCCTGTACGGTTCCCGACCCGGGACCAAGCCCTCAAACTTTTGGTGCACGTGAGGCTCCAACCAGCCCGCCACCTGGCCGGTGGAATCCTGCTGCGATGTTCATGCTAGTCTTTCTTTTCCAATTGACCTGATTTTGAAAAGGTTTAGGGGTGAAGATGGAAAGACAGCACAGATAGTCCCCAGCCCCCAGCCCCTGACATCCGCACCCTCATTGCCAGAGGACCTGTGTGACGGCCGAGATGCCGCGTTGGTGTGTCACCGCTAACTAGCCTCTAGGCTTTCTGTGGATGTCACCAGTCGTCCCATCAATGTCCTCTTCTGCTCTAGGGTCCAACCCAGACGTCACTCTGTGTTGTCGTCACTTGTCCACCCCCCCCCACCCGCATACTCTGGCCTGCGGCTGTTTCCCCGTCTTTTGTTGGTTTTCATGCCCTTGGGTGTCGGGAGGCGTCAGGGCCAGGTGTCCTGTGGGATGGGTCTGTCTGCGGTTCCCTCGAGAGCAGACTGGGGCCGCGGGTGTTTGTGAAGAGCGCCGCGGAGGTGAGGTGCCCACTGGGTCACCGCGTGTCGGGGAGCACGTGGAGCTGACCTGGAGCACGCGGTTCAGGTGGAGTCCGTGACCTTCCTATCCTTCCCTGGATTCACTGTGGTCCAGGGCGCCGGTGACCCAGTCTCGCCCCTGTCCCTAACCCCCCCCAAAAGGAGGAGAACGGGGTTTCAGTGCAAAGTCCTGAAGCAGGCGTGTTCCCCAGAGTTCGTCTTTAGGAAAGGTGTGCCTCTTCCCGCGTGTGCTGATGTGTCTGTTCTGTCACTTACTCCTACCACACGGACCCTCGGGCGTCTGTGCCACACTCACCACGTGGCTCGTTTGCTGCTCAGGATGCCCCAGCTTCAGCCGCTGGCAGTTCCCGCCCCCTGGTCCCTGGGTCCCTGTGGCAGGCTGTCCCCACATTTTCTGGGGGGCACCTCCTTCCTTCCTGGCGCTGTGAGCTGCTCCGGGCTCCCCTTGTATTTTCTCTGCCCTGGAAGCAGCCTCAGAGCCCTGGCTCATTACCTGCCTCTGAAGGCTGCAAGAGTGGCAGGTGCAGCTCCTCCGTGAGCGGGTTTAACAACAAGAGTCATTTTGAATCACGTCTGGTGAACCACAGGTTGGTAATCAAGTGGGTTAAGTAACGTTTTGCATCAAAGACTGTGCGGCCGGAGGGAGGCGTGGGCCGAGCGCCGCCTCGGGTGAGAAGCGAATCAGCCGGAGCTGCACCTCGGGTGCGCTTCCCCCTCTCCGGCCACTCTGTGTTTCCTCATTCAAACCAGCGACTCCCTGCCTTTGTGGAGGGAGGGTGACCAGTGTCACTGATGGTAAAGGAACACACCAGCGCTTTCGTCACCTTGGCTTTTGAAATGGGTGTTTTTCCCAGGTCTTGGGGATGTTGAACTTTGTACCACAGACCTTCATGCTGTGTCATAACACAGGCATCATGGTCTGGGATTAGTCACTATTTTTTCTTTTTTTTTTTAACTGGCCCTGCAGATTTTTTTTTCTTTTAAAGATTTTATTTATTTATTTTTAGAAAGAAGGAAAAGGAAGGAGAAAGAAACATCAATGTTAGGTTGCCTCTTGTGCGCCCCCTACTGAGGACCTGGCCTACAACCCAGGCATGTGCCCTGACTTGGAATCAAACCAGCAACCTTTCAGTTCGCAGACTGGTGCTCAGTCCACTGAGCCACACCGGCCAGGGCACTATTTTTCTTAAGAGCCTGTGTGCATTCTTAATTTCTCAATCCTCCCTTGAAAAATCACAGCAAATGTTAACATTTTTTAGTTTGAACATCAGCATTCCAAGCCCTTGGCAGGTTTTCGCCGACGTCCTCCTGGTGCCCAGGAGCGCAGCCCTGAGCTGTGCTGGAGGTCAGTGGCCTACCACACGGCCCTGGGCGCTCCCTCGCTCCCGTGGGCGAGCGGAGGGGCTGAACCGGCTCCTTCCACTCTTGATCTGCTGTGTCGACCAGAAATGCTCTTCTTTGCCATATGTTCTTGGGTTTTTCTCCAAATGCTTCCTTGTGATATGACAAACGTCTGGCTTGCCTATTGTTTTCTTTATGCAGAATATGAGATTCTTCGCTCTTAAAATGACCGTTTTGATACAAGCATGAAGCAGTGGGCATCTGCTTCTGCCCCCTGGCCAGGCCCACCTGTCCATGTGGGGGACCCTGCTGCCACCAGGCAGTGTCCCTATTAAGATCATGCCGTAGCCCTGGCTGCTATAGCTCAGTGGATTGAGCGCGGGCCTGCAAACCACACGATCCTGGTTTGATTCCCAGTCAGGGCACATGCCTGGGTTGCAGGCTGGTTCCCTGCAGGCCAGTTCCCAGCAGGGGACACATGAAAGGCAACCATACATTGATGTTTCTCTCCCTCTCTCCTTCCCTTCCCCTCTAGAAAAAAAAAGATCATGCCGTGACATCCACCAGCCTCGCAGGCC